TTGTGCAGTACGTCGGGCATGGGGCTTGTGCTTGGAGGGCGAGACCGAGTTGTTCTCACAGGGCACTCAGACGCTTCTTGGGCAGACGACCAGGCCACTCAGCGGTCGTCTCAGGGTTACACCTTCAGCCTTGGCTCTGGCTCAGTTTCTTGGCGCTCTACACGCTCTTCTTCTGTTCTCGGCTCCAGTTGCGAGGCTGAGATCTACGCTACAGCCATGGCTGCCCAGGAGCTACGTTGGCTGACCTACCTGCTGACCGACCTCGGAGAGCGGCCTCGTTCTCCTCCAGTACTGTACGTCGACAACAAGGCTGCCATTGCCTTGTGTGAGGAGCACAGACTGGAGCACAGAACGAAGCACATCGCCCTGCGGTACTTCCTTGCTCGTGAGCTGCAGCAGCGCGGTCAGCTTTGTATTCGCTACGTGGCCACTGAGGCCAACACTGCTGATGTGTTCACCAAGGCGCTTCAGCCTCGTGACCATCAGCGCTTCTGCACTCTACTAGGCCTTGTGCCTACTGGACCTCACTTACTTACCTCTTGACTTTGCTTGTACTGTGATCACTATATATATCTATACCTGCATGTTTACTCTTGCTAGGTTGTGATCACTGTATCTCTTGTTCTGTTATAAACCTGCATGTGAACTGGTCTTGTGACCACTAGCTTGTGCTCGGAATTTGTGTGGAATCCTTGAGATCCACCCTGAGCTTGTTGTTGCCTTGCTTTGCCTTGACTGGTCTTGTGACCCCTAGGTCTCCCCCACTTTGCCTATGGGGGTGTGTCAAACATTATACATGTTGTATTTGTGTAGGCTGTAGTGGGTTAGCCTATAGGGGGGTCACAGCATTAGGGTTTCATATTTGTACTCACAATCCTTGTTAGTTCATCATTCCAGTCCGTTATTACTGACAGGAGAGGAGGTCTCTACATCGGCAAGGCGGTTCTCAAGAACAACGTCTTCGTTCTTGACTTCGTCCCCGATCTCGGAACGGCCGACAGCGACGCCATCGTCAACTTCACTGACTGGACACATCCTCCAGATCTTGATCCAGACTTCAGCCCGAGCGGCTTCTGGTACTCACACACCATCCCTGAAACAGAAAGAACAAGGGCGCTGGCGACAATTCAGCAGTCGGCAGCAGCAGAGACAACATCGGCAGCAGCAGAGACAACATCGGCAGCAGCAGAGACAACATCGGCAGCAGCAGAGACAACATCAACATCGACAGCAGCACAAACAAAAGCAGCAGCAGCAGAAACATCAACACCAGTCGCCGGTCCCTCAACGGCACAGCCCTCCATCGACGAGACGCCGCCAACACCGGCGCAGCAGCTCAACCCGGCACCACGGGAAGTTCACAGAAGCGCGAACATCATCGCCGGCTTCTACTCCAACTCCGACATGTACCGACGCTCGCCAGGACACCGCGCCAACGAAGAAACCTGGCACGCAAGAATGGGACACCCAAGCAACACAGCATTAAACAACACGATAAGAGCTGGAGTACTTGACAAGGATTCACTCTTACTGATCGACGGCAGAGAACTTCAGCGAGCCCGAGGAACGTGCTTCACCTACCCCGAAGCTGACTTACCGCATCAGCCCTTCGTCTCGCATCACAACCCAAGCGCACCTGCATATTCACCACTCGAGAAAGTGTACAGCGACATCTTGTACAACCGCGAACCCGGACAAAACGCGTATAACTACACCATCACCTTCATCGACGCCGCTACACGTTACGTCTGGCACCTAAACTTACCAAGTCGCGACATGGCTTTCGAGGCTTTCGTGGCATGGCTTCCAGCAGCAGAACGGGAATCAGGAGCTAAGCTCAAAAGTTTTCAATCAGACGGAGGAGGAGAATACTCGTCACAGCGGTTCAAGCAGTATCTGGCGGAGAAGGGAATCAAGAGACTCATCTCCCTTCCCTACGCCCATCAACAGCAGGGTGTAGCAGAAAGGATGAACAGGACTCTGCAGAACACCATGCGCAAACTGTTACGTGGCATGCGGCTACCCAACCACCAGTGGCCCGAAGCAATGGACCACGCCGTGATGCTGCACAACTTGCTTTCCTCGTCGTCACTCCCGAACAACGCATCACCGCATCTGCTGTGGACAGGGAAACTGGGCAGCACAAAAATGTTACGAGTCTTCGGCTGCATGGTACAGTACCGACCCCCATCTGCACGAGCCGGCCGATTCTCCCAACGCGCACAGTGGGGACTACACCTGGGCATCGAAAAACATTACAACGCGTGGAAAATCTTCGACATCCACACCAAGGAAACAGTAGCAGCACGTGATGTCATTTTCTACGAGCGGCTCACACTGCCAACATACCTTGCCAACCTGGACGAAAATCGAGACCCCACAGGTGGCTTCCGTGGCGATCGAGCCTTCGCTTCGGCAGGACTGGGACGAGCAGAACGTGGAAGGAGCCTCGGAAGAAGCCGGACCTCTCCCCTACTGCTCAGTGGACGTACCGATGGACGAAGATAACCCTCGCGAAAGCGTCAACGCCGAAACCTACTACCACTTCGCCGACAACGGTTAAATTACACCTCCCGAAGTCAACACCAACGAAGCAGAACGCATAGGGCCCAACTTCGCACCTGATCCAGAAGCTGGAGACGAGGCAGTCTATCCCGAGGACACCACACTCCCCCGCTACACACAGAGTGGACTCCAGATACTCGGCGCCGCCATTCCTAAGGAGCCTGCAACGTTTCAGCAGGCTCTGGGGGGGGAGCACAGGGAAAAATGGCGTGAAGCCATGGACAAGGAGCTGAAAGCGCTAGAAGAACGCAACACCTGGAAAATCGTTCCTATCGGCGTAGCACGAAACAAGACCATTCTCACCGGAAAATGGGTCTTCCGCGTGAAGACGAAAGCAGATGGCACCATCGACAAATTCAAGGCGCGCTGGGTCGTACGCGGCTTCGACCAAGAACACGGACGCGACTTCACCGAAACCTTTGCTCCGGTCAGCCGACACACCTCACTACGCATTCTCCTCGCGATCGCCGCCATGAAGAAGAAAAAGCTACGACAAATCGATGTCGCAAACGCCTTTCTCTACGCACCTGTTGACGCAGAGATCTTCGTGGAGCTACCACACGGCTCCAGCACGGACTCCACACACGTCTGTCAACTACTCAAATCGCTCTACGGCATCAAACAAGCCCCACGACTGTGGCAACAGTACCTGCACGCCCGACTCGTTCGCATCGGCTTCAAGCAGCTACCGCACGATCAGGGAATGTATCGGCTCACGAAGGGTACAGACTACATCCTCCTAATCGTCTACGTAGACGATTTACTCTACATCGGCTCGACTGACAACGTCACCTCCTGGTTCGAAGGGGAACTGCAGAAGGACCTCACTCTCACAGTCTCACCTACCGTCACACAGTACCTCGGCCTAAACATCCGAGAAGAAGAAGACGCGATCTACCTCAACGCCGCGAAATATGCCGACACCATCGCCAAACGCTTCGCTCTCACACCAACCGCCATCTCCACGCCCTACCGCTACACAACAGGAAACAGCACGGGAAACCCCGCTCTACTCAAGCCCGCCGGAATACGTGACTACCAGAGAAAGCTAGGGTGTCTCCTCTTTGCAGCCATCACCTGCCGTCCTGACCTATCGTACTCTGCAAGCCAGCTCGCCACCCACCTCAAGAAACCTGAAGCAGAACATCTAGCAGAACTCGATCGCGCTCTTAACTACCTCGTCAGCACCCCGAAGATCGGGTTAACGTATCACAAAAACGCAACCGCACCAACTAAACTTATCGGCTACGTCGACGCCGATCACGCCGGCGACTCCGACAACAGACGCTCACGCACCGGCTACATCTATCGTCTCGAACCCATCGGTCCTATCTCCTGGCAATCGAGTAAGCAGGAATTAATTGCCCTCTCATCGGCCGAAGCAGAATATATAGCACTCTGCTCAGCCACCAAGGAAGGCCTTTACCTTCGCGAGCTGCTGGAAGAAGCAAAGTTAGCCGAGTTACCCAACTTCACACTGTTCTGCGACAACCAGTCGGCAATCCGCATTGCCAACAAGAACGGCTTCGCGAACAGGACGAAACACATCGCCCTGCGCTATTTCTTCGTGAAAGACGAGATCGAGAAAGGGAGACTCGAACTGTCATACTGTCCCACGTCCGAGATGGCAGCCGACTATTTGACCAAGAAGCTCGGGAAGCAGAAATTCGAGTACTGCATGTTGCTGACTGGACAAAGCCACGTCATCAAGAGCGACACTCCAGAAGCGAAGGGGAGTGTTGGAAACAATAAATTGTAAACGCCTCTGTCGTGTCGAAACACCACACCAGAAGCGAAGCACGCCATATCGAAGCACCCGCGAGTCAACCCTCGGAGGTTAAAAGAGGTTGCTGGAGGTTACGCGAAAGTCAAAGGTCAAGCGACCTTTGACCTGACAAGTGCAGCGCGACAGCAAGGACACACAACTGACTCGTTACAGAGCAGTTGCCCGAGTCGTCACTGTATCGAACCGCAACAGCAAAAGTAGTTACAACTATATCCTTTCGTATTCCTTGTAATCTTCTATATATTCTTGTATCCCTTTGCTATAATCAACTTACTTTGCCCTCACATACCAGCGCAAGGTGGTTCACAAATTCTCCACTAATACGCTTCCGCTATTACATAGTCCTACCGGAGTTTTACCCCCGCAAAGATCCTAAGGGCTTTTCTCAGCCCAACATGTGGGACTAGGAATTGTGAAGCTAGAAAAGTAGAGTGCCACGTGGCACTAGAGAATCTGAGAAGATAAGGATAAGGGTGACTTGGAATGTACTGTTCGGAATGAACAGTAAACACCCCTCTGACAGAGGGTTGCAATACACTGAGTGGTTAAGGACGTAGTTTGCTATGAGCTTTAAATAAATATACAACTCACATCCCCCTTACTTGGAAAGAAATACCATGCACAACCAGTTACATCCTATTAATCCTGGTCATAAATTGATGAAAATCTGTCCCCTTAATTGATATATCAGCAGCATGGAAAGGGAACTAGCGTAGGGAAGCAGTGGATAGGGAAGGGGGACTTGCATATGGGGGAGCACGGAAGCAGCGATTAGGTAAGGGGGAGCAACGCAAGGGTGAGTGAGGAAGCAGCAAGAAGGAAAGGGGGAGCAGTGCATGGGGGAGTGGGGAAGCAGCGCGTAGAGAGAGTAGTGAATATTCAGCTTGTCTTGATTACAATGGATAAATAAATGGAACTCTATCCACACACATACATACTCATAGCCATAATCATATCCCCGTCCCTAACCCCATTCTGCATCATCATCACTTTCTGCAGCATCATCAAATTCTACACCATCACATGCATCATCATCACCAGCACTAATAACACTCTCGTCCTCCTCGCCACCAACCACCACAAGTTGCCGCTCTCCAAAGAAGCCATCCCACGGCAAAACATGCTCCGCGGTCCTTCTACCAGTCACCACCAGACGTGGCAGCAGCGTTCCAACCTCCCTACCAGCACGCAATAACTCCACACTATCAAAACGAATTTCTCCACTTCCTTCACTTCCTCGACCTCCATCCATCCCCATGTCACCCTCGCTTCCACCGTCCTTGCTTCCACCGTCCTTGCTTCCACCGTCCTTGCTTCCCCTCCAACGATCCCCAGCAATCACTCTAGGAGAAACCACCAGCCGCCGTAGCCTGAATTCCTGCAGTCCCAAGCATCCTCTCCCCCTAATCCTTTCCTCCTCATGCCCCACACCCTCGCCTGGAACTGCCCCCTGCTCCTCACACTCCCCATCCACATGCACCGCTTGAGTCGACCCTTCTTCCGTGCTCTTTTCCGTGTTGGCAGCAAGCTCTCTGGCTGCTGCTAAGAGAACAAGCAGGAGGGCAGACGACACATTCGGGAATCCATACAAGTCCAGAAGAACCAGCCGTGGCAGCTGCAGCTGCAGCGGCGCACCGGAAGCACTGCCTCCAGCAGCAGCTGTGGTGTCGGATCCAGGTGAAATTACAGGGGTACGCTCAGAAGCACTGCCTGCACCAGGTGAACTTTCAGGTGTACGCTCAGATGTAGCAGCAGTAGCGCCAACAGCAGCATTCAAAGCCACGCCACCGCCGCGCCAGCTGTCGCCAAACAGTGCAGCCACGACTGCAGCATCGTCCACCGCCGTCCGCGCCAGCCGCAGCACCTCCAGCCGCCCGCATCGCCTCGCCAGCTGGCGCAGCGCCACTGGCCCCACGTTCTCACAGCCGCCCAGACTCAGCTGCACCAATCGCGTGCATCCGTTCGCGAGGGCCACCACTCCAGCATCGGTAACTAACGGTTGGAGGGGAGGGCGAGCAATATGGAGGAAGGTCCTGGCATAGGAGGAGGGCCAGTGGAGAGCGTAACATTCCGGATTCCTGGAGGCAGCAGGGCCGACCGCGACGAAGCGAGCTAGCTGCTGCGCGTGCAAGGCGATGAGGTTCGGGCAGGATTGGGAGATTTGCAGCAGCAGTGTGTCTGTGGTCCAGGGGAGGGCTAGGCGCTGCAGGAGAGGCAGGCAGCAGATGGAGTGGCAGAGTGCCGCCTCGCCGCTTGGATGTTTCGATTAGGAGTGAAGGAGGGCAGTGCGGGAACTCGGTTTGGGAGAGATCGAGAATGGTGAGGTGGCGGAACAAGGGGCCCACGAGTTGCCACGTGGACAGGGAGGAAGTGTGGGCGTGAAAGGAGCGCAGAGAGGAGGAGGAGGAGGACGGAGGTGAGAGGCTCTGGCTGCCGCCAATGCTGCCGCCGTCGCCGCCTCCGCCGCTGCTGCTGCTGCCAGTGATGCTGCTGCTGGCGTTGGTGCTGCTGGTCTGTGCTCCAGTGGCGACGCAGTTAGCAGAGAGGGCGAGCAGGAGGGAGGAGGCGGGGAGCAGATGCCAGGCGACGGAGTGATGGGGGGTGATATACAGACGGATGGAGGAGAGGCACGGCGCCAGGGGGGAGCCTGAGCCTGATGCGCATGAGAAAGGGATGTTGGCATTCGGGGGTGCCTCGGCGAGCGAGGAGAGGTGAGCCAGACGAGCAGCTGCCGCATCGGCCGCATCGGCCACCTCGGCTGCATTGGCTGCATTGGCTGACTTTTGAGATGTCTCCACAGCCGCCGCAGCATTACCGGCTGCATCGGGTGACCCCCTCGCCCGTCCTCCGCGGTGCTCCGCTGCTGCGAGTTCCGCCTCTTGCTGTTGGTGCTCCCGAAGGGGCACGAGGCAGTGGGACACGAGAGAGAGGCGCTGCAGCGACGGGAGGAGCGTGAGGAGGCGAGAGAGCGTCTCCCAATCGATTGAATTCGAGCAGAGCGCGAGCGCTGTAAGGCGCGGAAACTTCCTGGCCGCGCGCTCTATGGACTCAGCGGTGTAATCCCCCGGCGCTTCGAGGTTTAAGGCGCGGAGATTAGGGAGCAAGGCGGCGATTGAAAGCAGGTGGGGGGTGGAGAGGAAGCGGGCTGTTGATGAGGCGCGCACAGACGATACGGGGGAGGCCGCGGCGGGTGAGGCAGCAGCAGGTGAGCGAACTGACAATGATGGAAATGCGGTGGGGGAGGTGGCGGAACACGCGGAGGGGGAGGGGGGGGCGGAGGGGGAGGTGCAGGAACACGCGGAGGGGGAGGGGGTGGCGGAGGGGGAGGTGCAGGAACACACGGAGGGGGAGGGGGTGGCGGAGGGGGAGGCGCAGGAACACGCGGAGGGGGAGGGGGTGGCGGAGGGGGAGGCGCACGAACATGCGGAGGGGGAGGGGGTGGGGAGGGGGAGGCGCAGGAACACGCGGAGGGGGAGGGGGTGGCGGAAGGGGCGAAGGAGCACGCGGAGGGAGAGAGAGGGGCGGAGAGGGCACAGGAGCACGCAGAGGGGGAGGGAGTAACGGAGGGGGAGGGGGTGGCGGAGGAGGAAGCGCAGGAACACGCGGAGGGGGAGGGGATGGCGGAGTGGGGGTGGGCGAGCACGGCTTGGCGAATCGAGTGGTGTCACCGTGTCCCCACACCAGATCGGATCTCCAAGATTGAGTCGTCCCATTAACCTCCGCATTTACCTCCTCCACATTTACCTCCGCATTTACCTCCGCATCATCAAACGCTTCCGAATCGCCTTCAGCGAGCGTCAGCGGGTTCACGCACGTCACCGGGCAGAGAAAGTGGTCGGAGCGCACGCTCAGCGACTTGAGCTGACGTGGCACTGCTGGTAACAGCACCCTCAGGAAGTCTGGTTTGAGCATGGGTAGCGAATCCAGTAGCCTGTACCCTCTCGAAGTCTGCTCCACGCAACTGACGAGAGTTAGGGTTTCGATCCTCGGTGCGTGTCCAAGATTCGCGCGATGCCGTGGCACGTCAGCCTGTCGTTATCAGATTCCGTTAAGTTCCTCGCGCCGGGACGGAACTCCAGCGACCGGAGCGTGTCGGCGAATCGCGTAGTTAAATCGAGCATCTGCGATTCGGAGTCGGAACAACCAAGGATGCGCTCCGAGCCAGGAGCCAAGCTCTCGAGCAGGAATGGCGACGGCCGGAGCGACCGCACGCACACGCGCAGCGTGATGCGGCGCCAGTGGCGGCAGACGAAGGCGGCCGAGGCGATGGCGAGGCGCGAGGGGAGGAAGGAGAGGACGATGGCGAGAATGTTATCGTCCAGTAGTACGTGAGGGAATTCCATTCCGCGGAGAACTCTCCGCGATCATGGTCGCTATCGCCGTGCAACAGTTTTTCCATGGTCACGATACCGCCACGTTACCGCGAGAGAGCCGAAATGCTGCGGAAACGTCACTGAACGATTCAGATCGAGAAATCGAATTAGGAAGAAAACAAGCCGCGGAGTAAACACGCTGGATAGTAAACCGAGCCGAGGGAATAACAAGGCAGCGAGACGAAAAGGCTGCAGTCGGGGGTGTGGGAATGGAATGCAGCGGGCGGTGGGGAAGCATACACCCCCGCCCACCGGGAAGGACGATTTTTGGCTGCCTGGAATACCATGGGACAATCGGACAATCGGACAACGAAACGAGAGGGACAATTGGAGCTTTGAGGCCCCAGTTCGCGCTGGTCAACGTGGAGTCAACAACAGCTGAGTCAAAGCCTGTGGCAGAATGTGCAAGCGGAATGTGAGGGGAAAGGAGCGGAAGCGCAGACTAAGATGGCATTCCAGGCTTCCGAACAAACAACACTTCCGAACACGCGACTGCTAGACGAATTTTTGCGATTTTTCCCGACTTTCTGCGACACCGACCTTCGAACAACTCCGACCTGACGGTCGAACAACTTTCACCTCACGGTGAAAAACTGGCACACGGGAAAAAAATTGGCACCAAGGTCCGAGAAAAGAATGATATTGAGAAACCCAAAAAAAACCCCGATACATTAGTGTGTTCGAAGAAATTCTGGCTTAATGCCAGCAATTTGTTTTTTAGGGCAGTGTGGGACAACCAGGCCGTCAGTTTTCTGACGTGTCAGGTCATCACAAAATGTGCGCGAAGAGCACCGACATTGAGATCCTGTGCTTGTTCGAAGCCGTAATTCTACACCTTCGAACAAGTTTGAGAGTGTGCGACGACCGAACTTGTTTCGAGGTCACTTGTTCGGAAGCCTGGAATGCCATCTAAAGAGAAGCTGTCGATCCAGTAGGGGGGATGGGGAGGTGGGGTTGACGAAAGAGAAGCTCGTTCGCGAGGGTTACCGTTTTTTCCAGCCTGGAGCATTTACTGTGGCAGAATACTTGGGTACACTTTGATGCCTGAACTGCTTGGCCAAAAAGAGAGAATAAAAATATGTGAGAGATGTTCAATTTTCCTAAATTTCTTGCTTATTGCAGAGAAAAATTGACCTTTCTTCGCCAACTACTGATTAAAAATTGCTGCGATCAGAAGTTGATCGTGGCCTAGGATCTACTCAGGAAGGTTCGCACGCAGTGAGATAGTTTGGTGGGCCCTTGACCTCAATAGCAGAGTGAATGTAAAATGCTTGAGATGACTAAAACATGCAAATACAATAAATATAAATATGAGTACAGGGGAATACGAAACGACCTAACTAGCCATGTACTCTAAGGGGTACATTCCCTTATTCAAATACATCCCCAACCGTGCGGCGCGTACAGTTTCGTAACTGTTCCCGCCAAAACCATTCTGCCTGTAGCTTCCCGATGCCGTCTGCTCCGACGGTCCAGATGTGCTGTAACCGTCTGACTCTTCGGTTCGATTCCAACTGTCTGACGCTTCGCGTTCATTCCCGATATTGCCTGCTTCTCTTTGCTGCGGTGAGGAGTGCACAGTAACATCAGGTATTACTATTCGTAACACCCCCCTTCACTCCTGGCCGTAGCTCGACTTGACCTGCTTGACCACGCCGCTGAGTTCGGAGCAGTGCTGATACTGCTGGCGTGGCAGTCGCTTCGTGAGGAAGTCTGCTGCCATGTCACCCGTCGGGCAGTAGGTCAAGTTGACCTTGCCCTTGTCCACCTCGTCCTTCACGAAGAAGTACCGCAGCGCGATGTGCTTGGTGCGGTTGACGAAACCAGGCTTGTTCGCGATGCGAATCGCGCTCTGGTTGTCGCAGTGAAGGCGGAATGTGGGCGAAGCTGGAATTTTTGCCTCTTGCAGAAGCTCCTGCAGGTAGAGGCCTTCGCGAACTGCTGCGGTTGCTGCGATGAATTCCGCTTCGGCTGATGACAGGGCAACCAGCTCCTGCTTCTGTGAATTCCAGGAGATTGGCCCCGATGGCTCGAGTCGGAACAGGAAGCCAGTCCTGGACCGTCGATTATCAGGATCTGCTGCGTGGTCGGCGTCCACGTAGCCGATGAGATTGAAGGATGGGGTTGGTGCAGTTGAGTAGCATAGCCCAATCTTGGGCGTTGAAACGAAGAATTGAAGGGCGCGCTGCAGGTCCAGGAGATTCTCAGCCGTTGGTTTGCGTGAGTACTGCGCAAGCTGACTTGCGATGTACGAGAGGTCTGGCCTGCAGGTGACAGAGGCGAAGAGAAGACATCCCAACTGCTGCTGGTAAGTCTGAATCCCAGCAGGGGATAGGGCTTTGTTGTCGGGTTTGTGGTTCGGTCCGGGGGTTCGGTAGGGAGTTGAGAGGGGTGCAGGTGAAATGTTGAACCGCTTCCCTAACTCCTCTGCGTACTTAGCCGCTGAAAGGTGAATGGCCTCAGGTGCGTAGGAGATGTTGAGGCCCAGGAACTGCTTCACCTCGTAGTTGCACGTGATGTCGACGCGCCCCGCCAAGGCCTTCTCGAACTGCTCGAGAAGCTCGTTGTTTGAGCCTGTGTAAAGCAGGTCGTCGACGTACACCGTGAGGAGAATGTATTCGCCGCGGAAGTCGCGGCGGTACATTCCTGGGTCGTGCGGCATCTGCTTGAATCCGATTTCAAGCAGGATGTTGTGCAGGTACTGCTGCCACAGCCTCGGTGCCTGTTTGATGCCGTAGAGTGACTTTCGCAGCTGACACACACGCGTGTCTCCCTCGCTGTAGGTGTGTGGCTGCTCCACGTAAATCACGGCGTCCACTAACGCGTACAGGAACGCGTTCTTCACGTCGATCTGGCGGAGTGGCAGGTGCCTTGCAGCTGCGATGGCGAGCAGGATGCGGACGGAGGTGTGGCGGCTGACTGGGGCGAATGTTTGATCGAAATCAATCCCGTGCCTTTGATCGTAGCCGCGAACCACCCAGCGCGCCTTGAAGCGCTCGATCGTCCCATCCGCTGCGGTCTTCACGCGGAAGACCCACTTGCCCGAGAGGATTCTTGCTCTCTTGATTGCTGCGCGGTCGACGAGCACCCAGGTATCTCGTGATTCTAGCGCCTTGATTTCCGCGTCCATCGCCTCACGCCACTCCTTGCTGTGTGGTTTAGAGAGAGCCTCGCGCGGGTTTCGGGGCTCGATGATGCGCGGCGCCTTCGAGGTTGCGGTGTGAAGCCCGAGCAGCTGCAGTCCTGAGACGGTGCTGTCGTGGCGACGTTGCGGGATGACTTCCTGCACATCGTCGTCATCGCTTTCAGGTTCAGGTGGTGCTGGTGGTGCTGCGCCTCCGCCGCTTCCGCCTGTTCCGCTTCCGCCTGTTCCGCCTATTCCTCCTCCCGAGGAATCATCGTCGTCGTCGTCGCTGCTGCGCCGATCTTCCCATGCGAACTCTCCCCTTGTGTCCTGCTCCAGAATTGCTGCAGCGGCTTCGTCTTCAGGCGTGGCATAGCTGTGGCCATTGTTGGCGTAGACGCGATTCGCGTTCGTTTCCTCATCGTGGCGAAACTGGTCGAGGAAGAGACGCTCGTAGAAGATTACGTCGCGAGCATGGGCGGTCTTCTGGCTGAGGAGGTCCAGCACGGTCCACGCCTTGTATTCGTGACTGATGCCGAGGTGAATTCCCCAGCGCGCGCGGCTGGCAAATTTGCCGATGGTTGATGTTGGCGGGCGGTACTGCACCATGCACCCCCACACGCGGAGCATGGAGGTATCCCCTTTGGTTCCGCTCCATTTGACGTGCGGGGACAGGTTGCCGGTGATTGCGGTGGTTGAAAGCAGGTTATGCACCCGCACGGCGTGGTGCATCGCGTAGGTCCAGTAGATCGGCGGCAGTTTCGACTGCTTCATCAGCGCGCGCACCTTCGTCATCAGCGTGCGGTTCGTCCGCTCGGCTACGCCCTGCTGCTGGTGCGCGTAGGGGAGGGAGATGTGATGCTCGATCCCCTTTTGCGTCAGGAATGTCTGCATCTGATTACTCCTGAATTCTGCCGCGCCGTCGGACTGCCAAATCTTGAGCTTCTTCCCAGATTGCCGCTCCGCGTGCGGCAGCCAGAGGCGAAACACCTCGTAGGCTCTGTCGCGCGACTCCACGTTCACGACCCACACGTAGCGTGTTCCAGCGTCGATGAAGGTAAGAGTGTATAGCTCGTCCTCGACTCCGCAATGCCCCACGTTCAGGAAATCACTGTATACCTTGTGCAGCTTGGGGTAGCGATTCGTTCCAGGTTCGAGCAGCGGGAACGGTTGGTGGCTCAGCGCAGCTTCGGGGCAGACGGTGCAGTTGCGCGGATGTGTCGCGCCACTCACTTCGGAGCCATCAGGGCGCAGGAGTGCGCCAGGAGCGAAGACGCCAGCGTCGATGCAGTTTTTCAGTGTCGCGCGGGAAGGATGTCCGAGGCGCTGGTGCCAGAGTGCATCGTCAGCGCGAAAGCCGGAAGTGCGCATGTAGCGCGCGCGCACCTCCTCAGGGTCTTCGTCAGGTGCGGGAGCAGGTTCCGCTGCTACTTCCTTTGCTTTTTCTTCTTCTGCCGCGGTAGTCAGCATCAGCGCCAAGAACTCTCTGTCGCGAATTTCAGAGAGCGGGATGTTGGTCCCAGGGATGGTTCCAGGGACAAGGGTAGGTTGGCGTGGCTCAGGGGCAGGTCCGTAGACGGTGCGACGCGGGGTTGACGGCTCGTTGCCCCAGATGATGGTGTCCCACGGGTCGCTACGCGGGGGAATGTCTGCAGGAGGTGGTGCGAGCGGGATGTGGCGCGGGGGACGACCGAGAGGAACGACTGCAGGTGCTGCTTCGGTTTCCTCGGCTTCTTCCTCTTCCCCCCTTCGTTCTTCACGGGAAGTGCCCCAGCCGCTATTGTCGGCGCCAGATGCGGCGCCCCATCCGCCGCTCGCGTTGGCCCAGGTTCCGCCGTTGTCTCCCCATCCGCCGTTGTCACTTGTTCCCCATCCTCCAGCGCTCCCCCACCCCCCTTCATTGGAGGCGCTCGCTTCCTCCTCAGCTCCCGAGGCGGCGCAAGCGAAGGTCCCGCGGGCTTCCGCAAGACTTTGCTGGCGAAGCTCCTCGGCTTCGCGGCGCGCCAGTTCTTCTTCTTGCTCCACGGTAAGCTTCTTTTGCCGTGGGGTCGCGCCAGTATGGGTAGACCTTCAGGAACTCTTCGAGAGTGTAGGGGGCACGTGCGACTCCGCGTGAGTCCATGCTTCCGCGGCGTTGTCCGCGCAGGATGCCTTCGAGCCGCTGGGAGGGAGGTCCAGCGTGGGGACTTTGGTCGGCGCCGAACACGCGGCGAGTGGCAGCTTCGAGCTAGAGCTGCGACATCCCTTCTTCTGGTGGCGCGTGGCGTTCCGCTACAGTGATGGCGGCGAGTCCGCGGCCTGCAATCGCGCTCGTCGAGGTCGTCGGCGTGTGACAGTTCCTGCAGATTCCATCTGGATCGGGGTTGTGCAGCGCCGTTTCGCGTGGGTGGGGATGATGTGGCACCCACGGCCTGCCGTCAGGGTGCTTCCAATCCCTGCGGTGGATATGCTCAAAGCGCAGTGGTACGAGGTCAATGAGCTCGTGCGAGTCGCCGCTGCAGTCGGGGATGTCAAAATCCAAGACGTACACTCCATTTTCAGAGTGTGCTCGTCCAATCTGCCTGCGGGGGAAGTTGCGCGCCTCATAGTGCAGCAGGATGTCTCGCGTCGCGCGGTCCGTGCTGAGGTCGACGCCGCAATCCATGAGCTGTGCGGCGGACAGGAGGTTGAAGCGCAGGTTCTGGACGATCAGCACATCGTTGAGCGTGATGTGCGTGCGGCTCCTGCGCGCTTTGAGCATGACGATGCCTTGCGCGCTTGCGCGCAGGCGCGTGTTGTTCGCCACGGTGACGTAAGTGATGGTAGGGGTGGGGATGGCGTTGGATATGTAACGCTCGGACCCCACCATGTGCTGGCCGCGACAGCTGTCCAGGTACCAGGTGTTGTAGCGCTTGTTGTCGTCACGTGCGAGCAGCGCCAGTCGCGGCGTGACGATGTGCGGAGTGTCGATTTTCAAAAATTGCTCGCGCGTGAGCCAATCAAGTGGCGCCACCCGCATATCAGGTACGTGCGGGGGACTTTCAAGCAGCGGGACTGGAAGGTTCCAGTCCTGGTCGTCGTCGTCGGTGAAATCGTGGCGCGGACTGAACGGATTGTTGTTGGTGAACGCGCCAATGGGGTGCGGTGCCGGCTCAGGTGAAGGTGAGCGCACGCGGCGACGACGCGATTCGCCTGTCATGGCCATGTTGCTCATGACATTGCGAACTGGGGCAGTCGATGACGGCTGCTGCTGCTGATGCTGAACCGCTGGGTTCAGGTTGCGCGCGGGAGGGGGCTGATACCCCTGGGCTGGACGCACGTCGCCTCGTGCGTCTTGACGGCCGGACCAGGTGCTCGGATTGGTCTGGCGAGGGCGAGATCGGTTCTTGCATCGATCCGCCAGATGCCCGAAATTTCTGCAGATTTTGCAGTAGAGGCGCCGTGGCTTTCGCTCTTCGGTGTTGTCGGCGTAGAAGGCGAGCCGTTCGCGTTCTCGTCGCGGCGCTGGTCGCTGCTGATCCATATCCCTCTGTTCGACGAGAAGGGCGGCGCAAAGGGCGGCCTCCGAGATGACCCCCTGCTGTCGGAGAAGCGCCTTGCAGGGCCGCCACTCTGGGCCGAGCCCTTGAAGCACGATGTTGACGAAGATTTCTTCTGAAATCGTGCTTCCCAGCTTCACGATTTGGTCGCGAAGGCTCCGACAGCGATTAAGGTAGTTGTTGACCTTCTCCCCTGCGGTCATCTTGGTTTCCAGGAGTTCCTGGAGTAGTCGGCTCGAAGAGACAGAGTCCTTGGGCTGATAGACTCCTGTCAGGTGCCGCCAGGCGTTGAGGGCTGGAGCAGCCGAGGTCTTGTAAGAACGAATGTTGAGCTGCTCCGCCGGCGACATATTCTGTATGCCATCAGCGATTCGTCGTAGTACCTCGCCTTGGCGTCGTCGGTGTCCTCAGCGGGCTCCGCGTAGCTCCCGTCAAAGTAGTGGAAGATTCGGGCGTTCTGCAGCAGGAGCTCCAACTCGAAGCTCCAGATATAAAAATCTCTGGCGTCAAAGCAGGTACTTGTCTTTATTTTTGATATGCTGAGAAACCTTGATTGAGCGGAGAGAATTGCCTCTTCACTGGGACGGGGAGTCTTGGGGGTTGAGCCATTGGTGTCGAGGGAGAATGTTTGCGGGGTGGCGTTCTGGCCAGTCGGGGCCGGTTGAGTGGGTTGCGAGGATGTTCCCGCATCGCCATTCCGCAATGTTTGGAGTCCTTGCTCCAAGCTGGTGAGTCGCTGAAGAAGTTGTGCGAGAACTTCGGAACCGATCGTCGTCGTGTTTTCGCTTGTCGCAGCCGGGTTGGGTTGCGCTTCAGCCGTCAGATTGGTCTGACCACCAGATCCTCCGGCCATCTTCACTCGTGAGCGCGTACCGGACGCCACTTTCCGAATGTCGCAATTTTCGGGAGTGGCAGTGCGAAGGATTCCCGAGCCGCTCTCATACCATGCTGCGATCAGAAGTTGATCGTGGCCTAGGATCTACTCAGGAAGGTTCGCACGCAGTGAGATAGTTTGGTGGGCCCTTGACCTCAATAGCAGAGTGAATGTAAAATGCTTGAGATGACTAAAACATGCGAATACAAGAAATGTAAATATGAGTACAGGGGAATACGAAACGACCTAACTAGCCATGTACTCTAAGGGGTACATTTCCTTATTCAAATTCATCCCCAACCGTGCGGCGCGTACAGTTTCGTAACTGTTCCCGCCAAAACCATTCTGCCTGTAGCTTCCCGATGCCGTCTGCTCCGACGGTCCAGATGTGCTGTAACCGTCTGACTCTTCGGTTCGATTCCAACTGTCTGACGCTTCGCGTTCATTCCCGATATTGCCTGCTTCTCTTTGCTGCGGTGAGGAGTGCACAGTAACATCCGGTATTACTATTCGTAAAAAAAATAATCAAACATCGCACTTTTGTGCAAGGTTGCGTCGTCCTATGTTGTGGGACTAGCCTGGACATCGTTATCAGCATTCCATAGGCCAGCGCGCTACGCTACCGTTCGCATGATTAGCCAAATGTTTGCTCATGCCTTTGCACATGATTCAGTTCCCTTGCCCCTTCCAATACTGGTTCGCTTGCCCGCTAGTGTTTGAACCATAGCCATTGTGAGCCGTGATGAGCACGATTTATTTATTTTACTAGTTTGCTAACATAACTGCACCTGTAACACATATCCAGAACTGCGATCGGGGGAAAAGGCATATTCTTCTGCCCCGAGTCGACGGGGAAAGTTTTCCGAATGGTTGGGCAGGACCCCGGCCTCTCATCTAAATTCCAGCGCACGATTCGGGCAGATCAGTCGTCCTCAGTTCTGCCTCCTTGATCTGCCACCAGACCAACCATAGTGGTTCTGCATCTGACATTTTTGTTCCGGCCTGACAGCCCGCCTGACTGCCCGCCTGTCTGCCCGTCTGCCTGCATTCATGCTGGATCTATGCCACGGGCAGCTCTGGAATCTGGATGAAGCAAAAAGGGCGTTTTGAAATAAGAACAGCAAAAAGAGTGAACACTTTTTGTACGCACACCAAAGAAGAGAACTTCGCTGCTCTTCCCCTTCGAAACGACCTTCGGTTGTTTTTGCAGGTGTGCATGGATGGAGTCGTGCGTGTTTAGGAGGCTCTGTGATAGCGCGAGTTGCGTTGAGGGACGCCCAAAGTCGCTCACAGATTTGGCTTCCGAGCGACCGTGATTGGAGGCGATCATGCTTGCTATGACTCGTGAAGCGGCGCGAACACCACCGCTTCGAAGCTTCCACCCGACATCCATTCTTCCAGGCATCTAGACTAGGCTTTCCATCTACAGTAGACCTTTCGAGCTCCCAGGCATTTAAACATCCGGGCTTTCATCCTTCCGGGCCATGGTGGCCTGGAAACCCCCTCACTCGAGGTCCTGGACGAACGGCGCGATCTTCGGCCTATCAAAGCAGCGCGATTCCTGGTTCCGTCCGAACATGGCTTGCGCCACAAATCCATGGCGGATCGGCTACAGCCGCGCCGCGATCCAGATATTCCTGATAGCGTTTTTCGCGCTGAACGCCGTTTTCGCTTGTCTCTACGCGACCGGTTTATTTACAAGCGAGGCGTTGGAGAAGCAAAAGGAGGAGATTGTGCATCTATGGCAGTCGTGCATCTACAACCGCTTCGCGCACATCCATCGATTCCAACACCCCTTCCTCCGCCCCGAGACGTGCTCCGAACTCACCATGGCCGCCGCGAAACGCGGAGAAGCAGGCTTGAAACGCGCGCGATACTCGCGAGTTCCAGGTTACTACCACCCCGATATTGTCGACGGATGTGCTTCTAGCGAAGGATCGGCAGATTCGACTGATTTTTCTGGAAGATCGACGGAGGGTTGTCAGCTCGAGTGGGTAGTGTACTCCACGGAGTGCGGAGTGAATCTGAACCGTCTAGCCAAGCTCTGCCACGTGGCAGGAATCCCGTTAGCCGTGGTCGGGCTGAAGACGATGTGGAGAGGATTCGGCGGCAGGCTCCGGATTTTCAGGGACTATCTGCACTCGCTACCAGCTGACAGGGTCGTCATTGTCTCCGACGCTGATGACGTGTTCGTCCTGCCAGCTCAGCACTGCCGTCCAGTTGACATTATCCATAAGTTTTTGGATCTGGGTTCGCCGATGGTTTTCGGCTCGGAAAAATACTGCTTTCCTGATTGGTGGATCTATCAAGATTTTTACCCGAAGCCGTCCCGAGATACCCCTTTTAAATACGTGAATGCTGGCACGTACATGGGCTACGCATGGGCTATAGCGAGCGCCATTGACGCTGCTTACATAGGGGATTGCCTGGACGACCAACGGCAATTCATGCTTGTCTTCCTCGGGCAGGACAAACTTTTCAAAGGCCTGCCCCGTGCTCCGACTCCATTCACCCACGGCCAAAAATTCTCCCGCGTAAAGAAGCCTCCACTGGCCACGCCTTCCCTGGTCCTACCGTCCCCTCCATCCGCTATAGAATCTTCAGCTGCTCGCTCTTCTCTCTCCTCCTCCTCCCTTTCTTCAATTTCTCCCGAATTAAACGCCAGCAATGTCCCTCGGTTTATCCAGCTGGATTATTTCAACTCCATTTTCCACCTGCTGGGAGGATTTGGAGCAGAGGCGTTGGAGATAGAGGGGGACGGGAGGGGCGGGAGGAGGGAGATGCGCGTGCGGTCGAAGTTTACGGGCGGAGAGGCGTGTGTATTTCACCAGCAGGGGAACAAGACGGGCGATTTGGCCATGTTTGATGTGTTCAACGTTATGGGGATGGAGGTGCTTTTTGATTGAGCTGCGGGAGGGGTGGGAGGAGAGAGATGCGTGTATGATCGAAGTTCACGGGTGGTGAGGCGTGTGTGTTTCACCAGCAGGGGAACAAGACGGGCGATTTGGCCATGTTTGAAGTGTTCAACGTTACAGGGATGGAGGTGCTGTTCGATTGACGTGCGGGTGGGGTGGGAGGAGGGTGATGCTTGTTCGATTTTAGTTCACAGATGGAGAGGCGTGTGTGTTCATCAGCAGGGGAACAAGACGGTGAACCGGCCATGTTTAATGTGTTCAACGTTACAGGGATGGAGGTGTTGTGTGATCAAACTGCTGACTGTTTACCGTAGTTGACCGTGTTGTCGACTGCATGTGTTGAATGGGCAGGTACAAGCATTAGATGCCGAGGGTATAGTATAGTGTAGTGCAGTGTACATGAACGGGTGTGCAGTTTTGAGTGGGCAGGGCTCTCTCTTTCTGTCCCTCCCTTATCTACCATACATAAGGTAATGTCTGCAGCTGTGGGCTCAGAGGTACTGCTGGGCCGATCAGTGGCAGCGCATAGATATTGTTTTTGCGTAATTACGATACTGTATATGTTCATGGATGTCTTCTTGTAAATGCCAGGTGAATGCAAGTGCAGTATCTTGGTATGATTTCCTTGCGTATGCTTTGTCAGGGATGTGTGCATGCTCATTACTAACCCTGGCTGAACCAGGTTTTGGTTGTTATTTCCAGTCATAAGTGCTTCATTTCCCAGTGTGCAAGCAAGCTATACTGCTCCTTATACACTGCTGCTCCTCTGGTCCAACACTGGCCAAACACTATCAGCCATGCCATAATCACAAAAGTGAAAAAGGAACTCTCCCAACAAATTGTACAGATGGCGCACAAACATGTATTATTCAGCCAATACTGCCAAAACTGGCTGGCCAGCAGAGCTCGCCAAGTGCCAAAACTGCAGTGGCACAAACTCCGTGCCTCATCCGCCATCGCAGGCAGTTATGTGCCGCATGCACTGCTGCCACCTCTGCCTTCAACCATCCACACATGTGCCACACACAGAACACACATGTAACACCCGCTGCTGCCTATCGTGTCCCTCCAGCTCCACTGCACTGCCTCCACCTCCACTGCACTGCCTCCAGCCTCAGCCATACTTGTTTCTTCATCCATGCACATGCATCTCACACTGCGCCTGCTAGATCCAACACGCACACGCCTCCAAACTGCCCTTTTACTTCATACATTGCTGCCTGTCATGTGCCTCAAAAACCACTGCTTCCAGCCTTTGAATCACCTGCTCGATCATGTGTGCATACATGCGCCTCGTCTCCTCACTCCCCACTCTCGAGCCGACCCAGAAGCCGCTTCATGCGCTGCTGCCTGTCATGTGCCTTAAAAACCACTGCTTCCAGCCTCTGTCGAACATCCTCCATCACGTGGGCATACATGCGCCTCGTCTCCTCCTCACTCCCTTTTGAGTCGACTCAACAGTCACTTCATGCGCTGCTGCCTGTCGTGTGCCTCCATCACCACTGCCTCCAGTCTCTGCCGCACCTGCTCCATCATCCGTGCATACACATGAAGCACACATGCATATTGCACACGTATAGCACACATACAGCGCCCTCCTGCCACCCTACTTCATGAGCCGCTGCCTGTCATGTGCCTCCATCACCACAGCTTCCAGTCTCTGCCGCACCTGCTCCATCATGTGGGCATACATGCGCCTCGTCTCCTCCCTCCCCACCGCCCTCACATTCTCTATCCTCCTCCTCAACGCTGCTGCCTCCGCTTCCCTCTCCGCTTCCTCCTTCCTCTCCGCCTCCCTCCCCTCCTCCCTCCTCCCATCGTTCACCATCCCCTCCCCACCTCCACCTTCTCCTGCCCCCGTCTTCAATCTATGGTGGATTCCTTGTGCTCGTTCTGACCGTGCCCCACGCTGCATCAGCTCCTGTAACCGCTGAGTCAGCACCTCGGGCGAGTGGATAAGGGCGTCAGCGCCAAATGTCGGCAGCTGGGGCCGCCACATGGGATCGAGGGGGTAGGCAGGCGAAGCGGCTGTTTTTTGTCTTTCTTGTTGGCAATGGGTGGAAAAAGTAGCGCGGTCGGAAGCAGCATTGCTGGTACATCCGCTGTCACGCATACTTCTACTGCTGCTGCTGCTGGTGGCGGTGCCATTGTCACTGCTGTCATCATCAGTGCTACTGCTGCTGCTGCTGTTGCTGTGGGGAGAGGCGGAAGAATCCAGCCGAACGGCTTCCTTGGCTTGCTGGCGCAGGGAGGGGAGGTCAAAGGAGAAAGGCTCGCCCACCACCACACTCACACGCTGGTTCCACAGTGGTATCAGCGGTCGCTTGTTGTTGCGATAGTTCTGAGGGATGATCTGCAGCACGGATGGGGGAGAAGGGACCAAGTGGGATTGAACAGGGAGGGGAGGTCAAAGGAGAAAGGCTCGCCCACCACAACGCTCACACGCTGGTTCCACAGCGGTATCAGCGGTCGCTTGTTGTTGCGGTAGTTCTGCGGGATGATCTGCATGCATGAGGAGCAGAGTAGCAGTTCAAGAGGTGGTATCAAGGAAAGAGACACGGCCACCACCACACACACACGCTGATGGTGTGGAGATGGTGTCAGCAACGAGGTGACTTTTGAGTCGACTCAAAAGTCACCTCGCAGCAAGAATCAGAGCCTGTCGTGTGAAGGGCTGACTGACTCAGTATCATATCATGTTCTTTCCCTCCAACCCTCCTCTTTCCTTCCCACATGCTTCCACTCACTCACTCGCTTGCTCGATGCTGCTGCGCCCCACGCAGAGGAGGATAGGAGGCGGCAGTGAGTGATAGGAGGCGGCAGTGAGTGATGGGCAGAGGCGGTCCAGCAGACTGGCGAGTCAAGTGGCGTGCAGACCAGCAGGCACGCCCCAATCTGGCCACAGACATTCACCTCCTTCCTCAACACACACAGAGCTTTCCCCCCCTCTCCTCCCCCCTCCCCCCTCCTCACACACACCCCCTTCCTCAACACACACTTACCCCCTTCCTCAACAGACACTCACCCGCTCGATCCCACTATGCCCCACGCAGAGAAGGATGGGCGGGGGAAGCGAGGGGCAGAGGCGGTCCAGCAGACTGGCGAGGCCCCACTTGAGGCGCGGCAGGGGGCCGTGCTGCTGAATGATGCGCGCCTCTGGGAAGATGTTGAGCTGCACATGGGAGAGGGTTGAGGGGGAAGGGGGTAGGGGAACAAAGTCGGTACAAGGTTACTCCAGTTACCCACTTGAGGCGCGGCAGGGGGCCGTGCTGCTGTATGATGCGCGCCTCTGGGAAGATGTTGAGCTGGAGATGAGAGGGGGAAAGGGGAGAGGGAGAAGGGGAACAAGTGGGTATAAGGCTAATCCAGTTACCCACTTGATCCGCCTTCAGAACATGCCTTTCTTTTATCCATAACAGACCAACTCATCTTGTTGTCGTTGCAAACGAAATCAACGAAGATGTCGAACCGGCATGGTTGCAGAATTTACCCACCCACCCTGGTCTAATTACAGAAGCGACCCAGCCACCCAGGTGTACATGCGGAACTTACCCAGTCGCCCTGCTGTAACCGCAGCAGGGCCTCGTCCATGCCTGGTTGAAACACCCCCTGGTTTCGTGATATCGGAATGCTCTTGCCTGCCAGGGAGAAATATGTCAGAGCGACATGAGTCAGAGCAACATGTGTCAGAGCAACATGTGTCAGAGCGACATGAGTCAGAGTCGAATCAGAAGGTGAAACCAATTATCTATGAATGCCATTAGATGAAAAGCGAGTAAAATACTGCTTCTGAAGATTTACGAGTCAAGGGGAATGAGCAAAATCACCGATGCGGAAGATGTAGGAGTCGAGGAGACCGGTGAAGAAGATCTCGAAGGTAGTGAGCGTCCAGCGAATTTTGAGGCGCCTCAGAAGTATTTTTTTTGAAATACATGAGCCGAGGATCAGATGGGAGGGAATGTCTTACCTATTCTGAAGATGTAGGAGTCGAGGAGGCCGGTGAAGCAGATCTCAGACGCAGTGAGCGTCCAGCGACACAGCTTGGGATCCGTAATGCGTAGTCCCCTCTGCCCGCCCCACAGCAGCGGGTCGTCTATCCTGCAGGCGGACGGACGGGTGTGAGGCATGGGGTGGGTGGCAGGTAAAACACAAGATCTGCCGTTGAAGGGGATATTGAGACGACTCGTGCACAGCCCCCTCTGCCCGACCCACAGCAGTGGGTCGTCTATCGTGCAGGCAGGAGGGTGGGTGGGTGTGAGGCGTGGCGGGGAATCTGCTGTTGAAAGGGGCATCGTAGGTGATGTTCCGGCTTGGGGACTCTGATGCGCAGTCCCCTCTGCCCGCCCCACAGCAGCGGGTCGTCTATCCTGCAGGCAGGTGGGTGGGTGAACCGTGGGATGGTTGCGTGACAGGCGAAGCATGGGGAGAAATGAAGGAGCTGCGGAGGGTGCAGGTGACTTGAGGGGTGCAGGCAAGGCAGGGGTGTGCAATCAAGGGCGAACAAGAGACACGTGGAGGACACACGATGGCGACAGATCAAACCAAGAGAGACACGCGGAGAGCACACAATCAATCAAACCACCCCCGCAAGTGAGAGAGAGTGGGGAGAAGACGGCGAGGGGAGAGGCGAGGGCAGGAGGTGCAGGAGAGCGGGGGAGTGGGAGAGTGGGAGTGGGGGAGCAAGAAAGCGGGAGATCAGGAGCAGCGGGAGCGCGGGAAAGCGGGTTGGAGCCAATCGTACGTTGCCATGTGGTTGCTGACGGTGATGAGCGGCGTGCCAGCTGGCCGCGAGTGCACCAGATCCAGAAGCGTCTGCTGATTGGTCACCTCCATGCGATTCAGGACGTTCATGTAAAAGTACGATATTGAACTAATCGTCGCTATCGCCACGCGCCTCGGAATGCCAAACAGGTGCGACGCCTCCGCGGGAGGCGCCAAGGCCCCGGAGATCCAGGAACTCGCGCCGCGCCGGCCTTGCGTAGCTGCGGCCGCTGCTCGCGCGGCTGCCGACGCGGCGGCGGAGACGAGCGGCTTGGAAGCGCGCACGCCGTTGCTCATGATTGCTGCGGATCGCGTGGTTCGAGAATGAAGGTGGATATAGGTCTAACCAAAGGTTTGTCTTCGAACAAACAAGCGCTCGCTTCGGAGATCTCAATTCGCGTTCAGATCGAGATGACTTTTGAGTCAATTCAGATCACTTCGGAACTGCGTCAGGTGATCGGGTGTATGCCATCGGATGGCATGCCATCCGAGGGAGCCTCAACCCTAAACACCATGCCTCCAGGCGTTTAGGGTTGAGGCTCCCTGACCGGATGCATGCCCGTCTGGGGTTTATTTTTTTTGCCCGCGGGCAGCGAGCTCCGTCGGGCGTCGACCTGATTCCGCTGAGCTATTTTCGGCGGATGACAACAGACACAGGGAATAGTCGGTGTGCCCTCTGTTTGAAAAATGCGCTGTGAAAATCTAACGGCTACTTCCATCTACTCCCCTCTTGTTCTCTTCCAATTGGGCAGTCATGAGGTCTCCCGATAACACCGACAACAAAGAGTCAACTGTGACCCATACGAAAAATCTGGCCCATACAGGTCTCGAACCTGTGACCTTCGCGTTATTAGCACGACGCTCTAACCAGCTGAGCTAATAGGCCTGTCTGTGCGAGCGACTAAAATATTTTTAGTTTTTAATAAGTGTCTCTCTCTCCATTCATTTCCGTGTCGCTCACGGTGTTGTGTAGTGTGTATCGGCTCTTCCAACGGCTGTTTTCATTTTCATGTCAGCAGTCCCGCCCAGCCGATATGCGCGTGTCGTAGCCGTCAGCAGCCAAGTATCAGGTAGTCCGATCGACGGCAGGAGTGTTCACCCAAGCTCCTCTCACCGGCTTCTGCTCCGCTCCATCTCCACTCTCCTGGTTTTATCTCTTAGAAGCCGCGGCCGACAGGATTTCCGAGGGGGATTGGATAAGGGGATGAGGACGGATGGAAAGGATGCGAAGGACGGTGGGGAGCATGGGGAGCACTCGAAAGCACATTCAATGAAGAAGAAGATGGGATCGGTGCTCGGATGGGCGGCCAGGATTCTCCCGCAGTCCACCAGCAGCGCCGGCGGCAAGGGGCTCGGCGCGGAGCGGCGGAGCGAGAGCGAGGTGGAGCGGCGCGTGGTGGAGGCGCTGCGGCGGCGGAGAGAGGAGGAGGAAGCTTCTGGGAAGAAGCGCATCGTGCATTTCAACACGCTGGTGATGAAATTCGCCAAGTCAGACGAGGCGTTCAAACAGATCCGCAAGCAGTTCGACCAATACGGTGCGCGCTCGATCCCTCACGGTTTTGAGGCCTTCAGAGGAGTTTTCAGGTGTTTTGAGGACTGTTGAGGCGCCTCAAACTTGTCCGAGTCAGATGAGGCGTTCAAACAGATCCGCAAGCAGTTCGACCAGTACGGTGCGCGCACGATCCGAGCCACATTCTCGAAGGACTCGATTCTAGGAGAACCAGAGTTTAGGAGAGCTAGACTTTAGAAGGACGAAATCTTAGGAGATTGAGGTCCAAGTTCCACAATCTAGGTCCTGCGATTCACGGAATTCCGCAATTAGGAGCCTAATATTTCGCCTATGTACCTCCACGCATGCCGCTGCAACGCTCTGCAACCGCATTGAGTGTGCAGCCGCGCTGCGTGTGAAAGACTGCTCTTCCCTCCCTTCTCCCTCCCCCCTCTTCCCCGCCTTCCCCTTTCCCCTCCGTACAGTCAATGACGCAAGCCAGTCGATCGATCTGGACGAGCTTTTGGCATGCACTAAATCCCCCACCACCCCCCCCATCAACCCCTTCCAACCCCCTCCAACCCCCTTCAGCCCCCTCCTACCCCCTCCAACCATTTCCAACCCCTTTCCCCCTAATCACCGTCCTCCTTCCCCCTCGAGCAGACAAGGACTCCAGCCAGTCGATCGACCTCGAGGAGCTTCGGACCTGTCTGGCGGCGCTGGGCGTGTGGATAGCGGAGGAGGAGGTGATGCAGCTGTACCGCGAGGCCGACATGGACTGCTGCTGTGCTCCCCCCACCCCCCTCTTCCCACAACAGACAAGGACTCCAGTCAATCAATCGATCTGGAGGAGCTGCGAACATGTTTATCAGCCCTGGGCGTGCGGATAGCGGAGGAGGAGGTGATGCAGCTGTACCGCGAGGCGGACATGGACTGCCGTGACGGCATGCACTTCAAAGAGTTCATTCTGCTGCTCGCACTGCTCTACCTACTTCAACCCAATGTATGTGTGTATGAACGTACGTGTATGTGGGTATGGACGTATGTGTATGTGAGTATGGCTCTCAGCTGTACCGCGAGGCGGACATGGACTGCAGTGATGGCATGCACTTCAAGGAGTTCATTTTGCTGCTCGCGCTACTCTACCTGCTGCAACCCAATGTGCGTGCTGTGTTGGACATGCATTGGAGGTATTGGCGGCTGTGATGTGAAGCCTAATGAGAGTAATGCTCTCTCTCAGATGCCTCGGAATCGAGACTGACTGCTGTGACGGCATGCACTTGAAGGAGTTCATCCCGCTGCTCGCGCCGCTCTATCTCCTGCAACCCATGTGCGTGTGGGTTGTTAGGCGCAACGTGTTGCTTTAGAAGACTGCTGTTCTCGCCCCGTATGCTTACCTTTTATGTTCCGTTGGTGCTTCCTTCCCTCACCTAAACCTTCCGTTTGGTCTGCCAGAGGTGGAGGATGCGTTTGGGCTGATAGCAGACACGTTCAACTTCTTTGACACCACGGGGGAGGGGGAGGGTTCTCCATTCCTCCCTTGAGGCTCATCCGTCGAGCTGTTCCCTTGCTGCCCCCTTCCCATCTCGGCCCCTCCTGGCGCACTTTGGTACACCAGAGGTGGAGGGGGCATTTGGGCTGATAGCAGACGCGTTCAACTGCTTTGACACCACGGGGAAGGGCTTTCTCACTTTTTCCTGTAATCCTCTCCTGCCCCCTCTCATGCTCCCTTCACCACCTCACCAGGCGCACTTCGGCACACCAGAGGTGGAGGGGGCGTTTGGGCTAATAGCAGACGCGTTTAACTTCTTTGACACCACGGGGGAGGGATTTCTTACGCAGGCCAAGGTGCAGGCCGCCATGACCACTGGCAGAGACTCCTCCCCCAGCCGCATCGCCGGGCAGAGATTCGGTGAGCAATAGGAGAGTGGAATGGGTGCGCGTTGTAAGGCAATAGGGTCGTAGTGGGGCCATCAGCAACAGCAGCAAAGGACATCTCTCTACCACCAGTAGCACATTTACTGCTCCTCCTGTTCCACACCTACAGAGTCAGGACACCTTGTTGTTACTGTTGCTACAGAGTCAGTCCCACACCCACGCCCACCCCGATGTTATTGGTGTCACTGTCGTTGCTATCGTTGTCGTTGCTGTCACCTCTGCTTCTGCCGTTGCAACGACAGTGACAGCAATAACATGGGGGTGGACGTAGGCGTGGGAGTGGCTCTGCTGCGACTGCAACAACATTGTGCACTCACTCTGTGGGTGTGGGACAGGAGGAACAGTAGATGTGCTGCTGGTGGTAGAGCGACGTCTTCTGCTGCTGCTATCGGTAGTGCTCCTACTGATGCTGCTGGTGTTGTCCTCGAGATGGACTACAACACGGACGGGCAGTGCATGTTCAAGGGTTTCTTGATTGCCTGTCTCTCTGCCTCCCTTACTCTCATTCTCTCTCACATGCACACACTTTCTCTCCCTCACACTCGCTCACCCCCCGTTACCAGCCGAGATGGACTACAACACGGGCGGGTAGTGCGCGTTCTCTCGTTTTCTCCTTATATGTGTCTCGCTCGCAACCTTACGCACCCACGCTCCCCCTTACCCACCCACCATCCGAGATGGACTATAATACGGGCGGGCAGTGCACATTCAAGGAGTTCCTTCCTCGCTTCCTCACGCACATCCACTTTGGATGTCAAAACCAATCCTCACGCGCATTCACTCATGATCGCTGAAATGGACTTCAACACGTTCAAGGGGTAGTCCTTGCACGTTCTCACCCTCTCCCTCACCCACTTCCAGCTGAGATGGATTAGAACACAGACGGGCAGTGCACATTCAAGAAGCACTGTTTGACCTTCTGCTCACCTCACAGTCTCGTTTCTCACGTTCGCTGCCCCTCTCACATGCTCACACACTCTTTCGTCACTCACTCCCTCACCCTCCTCCCACCACCAGCTGAGATGGACAATCAACACGGACGGGCAGTGCACGTTCAAGAAGCACCTGTTGGCCTATCCCCCTACCTCCCTAACTCTCCTCTTTCTCACACACACGCTTTCTCTCCGTCATGCTCGCTCACCTTCCGCCACCAGCTGAGATGGATTACAACACGGATGGGCAGTGCACGTTCAAGGAGTTCCTGTTTGCGTATGTGGGGTGGGTGGGCACTGCAGAGGAGGAGGAGGACGAGGAGGAGGAGGAGGAGGAGGAGGAGCAGCAGCAGTAAGACTCCAAAGACCCCCAAAACCCCCAAGTCTCCCAGCAAGTCTCCCAAGTCGCCCCGCACTCCCCGGCATTCGGGGGGGCATAGATGAGGGAGAGGAGGTGGAGTGTGAGAATTAATGAGATGAGGCCATGTCAGCTTCTGCACCTCTCTGCATCACCCTCCACCGCTCTCCACCACTCTAGTGTCACTCAAGGGGTGTTGCAGCGGCTGCGAGTGCAGTTGGTAGGAAGTCGAGAGAGTCCTGCCGAGAGATTTAGGGAGGGGAAAAGCTGACTAGCATCAGCCGGATTGCCAGCAGCAGTGGGGTCGCTAGCAGCAAGGGGATGGCAGGGAAAATGGCGTGGATTTGAATGTGCAAGTGCTGCCGTGGGAGCGAGCAGTCTGTCGCTGGTGGGTTTAAAAAAGTAGCGGGATTGCCAGCAGCTGCGTGGAGCGTGAAAATGCCGTGAATTGCGGGTCTTCATATGCTGCCTCAGGAGCACGTTGAGCAGTGAGGAGGCACAGAGCAATCTTGAGTTATTATTGCCTTATAGGGTTGCAGGTGAGGAGACCATGCGAGGGGGGAAGCGCATTTGCTGTCCTCCTCAAGACAAGGCTTGTGAGGGTGGGAAGGGGGGTGGTGGGTGGGGGAGATTGTAGAGAGGGTGTTGGGGGGCCTAAAATGTGTGTCAAGGAAGCACCAGAGATCTGGCCTCTGCTCCTTTTTGGTTGAGGTTTGGCTTTCCAGCGCATGCAGGATCACCAAAAGGAAGCAGAGGGAGCAGGGAGGGGGTGAAGGGCGGTGGAGTGAGGAATTGTGAGGGAGGGAGACGCGCTGTGTTTTGGTGTGATTAGCACCTAGGGCCATGCACAATTGCATGTGGGCCGGCATTCAGGTGGTGTTTTTGAGAAGCTAAAAATTACAGTACCCTGCCATGCACAATTGTGTGTGTGCAGCATTTTTTGGTGGAATTTCATTTTCTCTGGTGGATGAGGATGGATCGAATGGGCGAAGAGTGGGACAAGGTGCGAATAGATTCGAGAGATGGGTTGAATGAGATTGAGGAACATGGCTGGCTGAAAATGGGGGGAGAGGAGGGGGAAGAGGGGTGTTGAATAAGATTCCTAGGCCGACAATTCATGTGCATGTGTAGCATGTTGTGAAGCGTAGTATTGATAGTTCCGCTGATTTATTTATATTATTGTTTGATGCCAAAATTCCCTATGAATGTTCATACGGAATATTGACCTCCTTAACAGAATTACCGCATCAATTCCAGTCCCGTCATTCCCATAGCTTCCATACAACGCAACAGTCGGTAAACCGGGAGCTCCCAAGCGAGGACGTTATCCGTGTTATGCTTCTGCTCTAGTTCGCTTTTCAGCAGCAAGTAGTATGTCGCTCAGCGTCGTGAGGGATAAATCGTAACGCAAGCCCACTGTCGTTTCGCGTGAGGGCGCCGTTTGCGAAGCAGGCTATTACGGGTACATGCAGCAGGTACGAGCCGTGAACGCAGTTCTGTGGCCAGTGAGGGGCCTGGTTTTGAGGCGCCTGGCTTTGTTTCGCCTCAAAACTAGAATTTACTACCGGTACATGCTGCTGTAGATACGGGCGAATGACGCAATGTAGCTCTGCGACCTGTGAGGGAAAACCACGTACGTGTGAGCACGCGACTTGCCGCGACGGGTCCTCACCTCACGACCCGGAAGCAACGATCATCTCGCCCCTCGCCCCTCGCGTCTCGCCCCTTGCCCCTTGCCGCTGTGGCCTCTAATTTCCCGTGCATTCTGCAGACCCTAAATCCGCAGTTTCCCCGCCTATCCCCGCCCCTCCCCGCTGGCACCGGTTCCGCCGCTCGCTCCTTGCGCCTCTCATGCCCCATCTGGCGCGCATCGCCCCTGTGCCTCGCCCCAACCCCGCTGTATATCACCCCTCCTGTGAATGGTTGTTAGGCAAGCAACGGGTAAGGAAAGGGAAAGATCGTTTACGGGGGGTTAGAACGAGAAAAAAAGGATAATCCCCTTTGAGCAGATCAACATCTGGACTTTTATCTTTCGTCCCTTGGCGCATTGCCGACTCTTCATCTCTCTAAGACGCTGATCCTTTTTCTCAACCTCTTCACCTTCCCCAGTTCCCTTGGTTTCGCAAGCAATACCTTAAATTCACCCCCCTACCCCCACACACACCCTCTCCCTCCCTCTCCCCCCCCCCCCCCCCCCCCCCCCCACCCCCTTCTGTCCTTCCCTCCCCCTCTTCCCCCATCTTCCGTCCCTCATTTCCCACATTTTATCGCCTCTTCCACGTGCTGATGTGGCACCCCGCACCGCCCAGCAGACAGGCACATCGTGAGTGAGTGTGAGCGCGTGGCATGATGAGCGGGAGACGGGAAACAAGAATCTGCAGCCAGCCACGGTGGTGACCTTTCACGCCACAGCCACCGCACCCCAGTAACACTTGCGCTGCCTTTACAGCGTGCCTTCTGAGTTGACCAAAAAAAGAGGAGAAAGAAAGAATAAAGTCTGTACCGAACGTACGCTATGGGCAGCCAAGCGTCGTCTCCCTGCAGCAAGGCCATGGTGCCTGAAACTGAAAGCTCTGTCTCAGAGTCTTTTGAGGCGCCTCAAAAGGTGCCTGAAGGGCCCGTCTCAGGGTCTGCTGCAGAGTGTGTACAGAAGCCTCAGCAAGCACAAGGTGAGTGAAGCTCACTACATATTGAGTGTCAGCGTTTTCCATTTCACGATTCTCTCTTCCTCCATTGCTCTCGTCTCATGAATGCGAATACCAAAACCCCGTGCCCTCCCCACGTTTCCCTTTCTGTCCCACGCACCATGCCAGGTGTTAACTCCTCAGAACATTCATCGGAGCTGCATTTGGTGCTTGGATGCGGCTTCCACAACAGCAAGTCTCCTGTTTGGCAAGCGTTCCCTGACCCTTCAGGAGCTCGTTATAATCCTCCTGCCGCAACGCTTCCACTTCCATTTGAGCTGTACGGCCAGCCGTTTTATAGAGGTTTCCAGTGGGAGAAGAAGGTTTAGGTCAACATATCGTCCATAGGTGCTTGTCAGTTTTTAGGTTTTTGCCATCTAGGGATTTGCTCGGGTTGAGTCTACCATTCCGAAAGATGAAACATGAAGATATTTCTTGCAGCAGAAAAAAAGTTGCTATGTTATCGAAACTAAGCATTATGTCCAATTCTTTGCGTGTACACCCTGCTATACAACCTAAGCCTAGAGTAGAGACCTGACGTGACTCCTAAGATTAGCCTTCTCTGTATGGGTCGCTGCTTTTGTGAGGCATTCTTTTAAAAAAGCTTCTGCATTATAGCGGGTTCCTTATGTATCTCGCGTGGCGAGGACCGCTGCGTTGCCAGCGTGGTCCAATCTCGGCGCCGCCACACCCACTTCGGCACAAGCGAACGTTTGGCGATGAAGTGGGTGGTAACCATTGAGAAAAGGTACATTCCTTTCCCTCTCTCAATGGTCACGTGGTCCTCGTGGTTCAAAAGGCTGTTGCTGTATGGCTGTTTTACCACGTGGATTCAGGAAAACAACAGTTGCAGCTCGAAGGAAGCGACTAGTTCTCCTTTCCATACCCAGAGCCGAGATCCGAACCGGACAACTAACCGAGGGGATTGATATTTTGCGAGAAGGTTAATGGCCGCAATAAGTGTATGTAATGCACGCCCTAAAGTAATAAGAAAGGTTATAAATGGTTATGAAGTGGATGATTAGGCATGCGAGAAGGTTAAGGATGGTCCAGGTTTTGACAATCCCCAAGAAGACAAAGCTATCCCTCAAACCAGACTCGTAACAAACAGATTTCTACACTGGAAACGTGGGGCATTGGGGAAAGCATGACCATATGACCGCATTCTCAAAAAGCGAATGCATGGCACTGATTGGCACGCTTGTTCGCGAAGGTAACACGAGATGCATTTGCGAAATCGCAATGCACCCCATCCCGTCCATCCCAACCTCGTGGCTTCCCTTGGGATTGCCACTGCCACCTAGCTTCGCCTCAACCACAGCCACATGTTCCGGAGCATGCTGGCTTTTCAACTTATTCCCTCGAGATCATCTGACTACCTCGTTATCTTCGAGGGATTCGCGAAGCCATTGCTTCAGTGTTAATTTCTTCCTCTTTAACCTTCTTGTTATATTACTCAAGAATATTTTTGTTTAGGGCTGGGAGGTACAGCCAGCCAGGGTTGGCTCAATGGCGAACGCGACGTTGCCATGGACGCTTGGTGGTCCAAGAGAAACCTGCCCTGCGGAATTGCACGTATGTCGCTTCATTGATGTAGCTCGGACTTTTTTTCATTTCGCTTTGTGATCCTGAGAATGCTGGACTAACGGAAACCTAACGAGCGACGAATTTTCAAGGAACAAAAACAGTTGAATAACCTGATCGTCGCTGCTTAGAGTGTTAGTTTGCTTGTTTCAGCGTGGAATCTTCTTCGATCGTTTGTGTCACGGGCTGTTTGTTCATTGTCGCGCGCTGCGACTTGACTTTCACTGTAGTCAACCATCTGCACCGGCCGGTCTGAGCCTGATCGAGGCTCGTCGCTGCGCATTGATCACTCGAACCATGTCCCATTTTGCACGCTCATCCTCATACATGTCCTCGCTGGAGCAGTACTTTTTCTTGTGCAAGGATACACTTCTTCCCATCCCAATCTCGCCCTCCGTCCCACCTTCTGAATGCCCGACTTGAAAGCTGCTTCTGCTGCATGACAATGCATCATCATATCCTGGCTCGTCTCCTCCTTTTCTGCGGTTTTTCATTTGGGCCCACAATCACTTTGAACAATTTTCTTCGTTCACCATTGCTGAAAAAAAACTGTTTCGTTCCAACCTGCCACGTGTCTTCCTCTCATACAGTGTCTCATTTGGGTCCACCGCTACTTTGGCGACTGCGTGTGTAACTTTCGCGATGGGGTTTCGTTCACGCTGGGCATGATGAGCGTCGTCGCTTGGGGTGTCGCCGAGATCCCGCAGATCGTCACCAACTTCTTCGCTGGCAGCACGGAAGGCGTTTCGCTCGCCTTCCTCATGACGTGGACTGTCGGGTGAGATGACGTGGACTGTCGGGTGAGATGACCTGGACTGTCGGGTGAGATGACGTGGACTGTCTGGTGAGATGGCGTCGACTGTCGGATGAGATGACGTGGACTGTCGGGTGAGATGACTTGGACTGTTGGCTGATGAGATTTGCGGTCAGGAGAGTGTAGAACCGATTCAAACTCGCGTGTGGTGGAACTGAGAACCGATTCTTTACAACCAGCTTTTTCGCTGGCAGCACCAAAGGCGTTTACCTTCTCGTTTTCGTGAACTTGACCCTCAGAAAGACAATGTAGCGTGGACTATGAGCTGATTCGGCCTCACTTCAGGTGTCTTTCGTTCTTCTCCCTCTTCTCTTCGCTCCTCATCCAGTGCTGTCTTTCCTCTATAGATCCGTTTCTACCCATACTCCTCTCTTCTATACCTTCCTTCATCCCCCACTCACAATACACGCGTTCATTGCTTGTGCGTGCTCCTACCTGAGCACCCGCCTTTTCTGTCCCACAAGTACTTACAGATTTCCCAGATTCCCGAAAACTCCACTGCAGCCCAATCTCACACCAAACAATTGCGGTCTCTTTCCTGCACCCTGTTTCCACCTGTTTTTCACAGGGACGTCTTTAATCTGGCCGGATGCTACCTGGAGCCTGCAACGGTAAGCATTGAGTGTACAGAGAAGTCAATAATCACAGGCCCCTAAGTGATTAGGTATGGCTAGAGCTTAATCCTTAGCGATTCTTCTTGTCACCTGACGATAACAGCACCTGCAAAGCAGTCAGCATGAGCTTCCGTTTTCCAGCATAACCATTTATGTATACGATCTTCTTGTCTTCCTCTCTGGCCAACCCGTGTCTGTGAATGTGCAGCTCCCAACGCAGTACTACATGGCTCTGGTATGACATTCATTTCTACTCGTGTGCTGTGCTCCTCCCAACCCTCGATGTCCATGCTGAATGATTAAAAAAAAAAAAAAAATCATGCACCTTTGTCCCTTCGCCCAAATCCTCTTAATTTTTTTTCGTGAGTGTTGTTTTGTTTGTTTGCTTACTTTCCCTATACTTCGATCTTCCCCATGTTTCTCCCATAAGTGCTCCTCTCAAGCTCACACATTGTCCCCAAAAAAGCTTCCTGCAAAACTCTCATTCCCTCTTCCCCCCCACTTTCCTTTCCCTTTCCCTCCCTCAAAACACCACAACCACTCCCACCGGCGCCACTACCAGATGTACACGATAACAACGATAGTGCTGGTGGCGCAGACGGTGTACTACGAGGTGCTGATGCCGCACAAAGAGGTGGTGGAGGACGAGGACGAGCAGGAGGACGGTGGCACTGCAGTGCAGGACAGTGTCAGTGTCAGCACCACGGCTGTGACTCTGCAGGTGGGTGGGTGAGTGGGTAGGGGATGGACTGGTGGGTCCTGGTGGCACAGTGGTGCTGGTGGAGTTTTGAGGTGCCTCAAAACGCAGTCGACAATGTACTACGTTTTGTGTTGCTGGTGCCGCATAAGGAGGTGGAGGAGGAGGAGGACGAGCAGGAGGACGGTGGCACTGCAGTGCAGGACAGCATCAGCGTCAGCAGCACCACCATGGCTGTCACCCTGCAGGTGGGTGGTGTGAGACTTTGGGCTGGGTGGGTGCGCAGTTGAATGGAGGTCTGTGCGAGCTGCTAACTGTTAAAGACAACTCTGCGTTAAAAATGGCAAGGATCTCATGCCATTCTGTGCCATGCCGTGCCGAGGATTAAAGCTCAGTGAACTTGTACAGCAAACTCACAAGGGTTGATCGGAGGCATGCCTGACCAGATCAGTTCAGCGATAATCAGAGAAGATCAAATCAGCAGATTACATCAGAGCAGGTCACAGCAAATTAGAGCAGATAAAACTTCATCGCCAAGGAACAAAGGCAGCCTCGAAATCCGCCCTCCTCACTTCCCAGTTCCTTGCTCTACCCACATCTCGTTCCTTTCCCCGTCCTTCCCTTCCTTCCGCCCAGAGACTACTTCTCTGCTACTTTTCAGAATTCCCAAAAGGGCAGCATCAGCAGGTGTCCTTACTGCCAATGGGCGTGTCCATCCTACAAGCCAACAAAAATATCCATCCGCCGCTACTCCCACTCCCCTCTGCTTCCCTCCCTTCTGCCCACAGACTCCTCTGCTACAAGGGCAGCAGCAGCAGCAGGCGCCGTCATCGCCAGTGGGAGTGCCCCAGGGCGTGCCCATCCCCGTTGGCCCTCGCTCAGGGATCCTCTCCGTGCCGCTCAGCCGCAAGTCCTCCCACCGCGACATCCATATTCAGTCAGTACCTGCTTCCCCGCTCCCTCGCTGCTCTCTCCCTATTCTCCCTACCCAGTTCATTCTGAATCCAACGGTGATGGTCGCCTTTCTCCTAACGCTCCCATCTCCCATCTCCCTTCTTTCAAACCCCAACAAACCCTAGATTTGAGATCTGGAACCCCCCGCCCGCCCCCCCCCCGCCCGCCCCCCCCCCCGCCCGCCCCCCCCACACACACTCTCCCATTTCTCACTGCCATCTTCCATCCCCTCCCTCCCTCTCCCTTAGCTGAATCCCTTCCAATTTTTTCTTCTCTCCACTTTGTGCTCTATTAACATGTGCCCCCTACCGTCCCCTCTCTCTCCCATGTTGTCCCCTCCTTCTCCCACAGCTCCTCTTGTTCACTAGCCACCTACCTACCTACCACACGCCCTGGCTCCGTCATACGAGGCTTTTCATGTGACATGCCTTCATTCACGTCCTTCCCTGCCTGCCTTCTCTCTCACCTCCCGTCTTTCTCTACCCGCCAGCCCCCCTGGCCCGCCCCCACCAGCTCTGCACGGTCGCTAGTGAGCTGAGCTGCCACACGCCCACCATGGGCTCATTCTTGCCGGGCTTTTCCTGTCACGCGCCTCTATCCACGTCCTTCCAAGCCTGCCTTCTCACCTCGATGCTGTCTCTACTCTACCTCCCTCTCCCCCCACTCTCCCACACACCAGCTCTGCACGGTCGCTAGTGAGCTGCCACACGCCCACCATGGGCTCATTCGTTCCAGGATCCTATGGGCACCACCCACACGGCTCTCACGGGGGCCACCACCCACACTCGCTGCACGCACGCCACGCGCAGCACCACGTGGGGTCACTTCTCAGCCATTCCTCCCTCTTTCTGCCCCCTCTCTCCCCTCTTTTCCCACCTTCCCGTCCACGCCCCCCCCCCCCCCCACCCCCCCCCTTCACTGTCCCCCACACCAGCTCTGCACGCTCGCTAGTGAGCTGTCACACGCCCACCATGGGCTCATTTGTACCGGGATCTTACGGGCACCACCCACACGGCTCACACGGGGGGGGGCACCACCCGCACTCACTGCATGCACGCCACGCACAGCACCACGTGGGGTCGCTGCTCAGCCAGTCGCCTGGCCAGGGCGTGCCGCACATCTCCCTTCCCACCAACAGCCCCGTCACCCGTGCTGTAAGCCCCTGTTCCTTTTTTTTTAAATCTCAAACTATGCACATCTCCCTGCGCAGCAACGGCCCCGTTACCCGAGCGGTGAGTCTATCTTTGAGGCCTCCAAAGCAGCCCTGTGCTGCTGACACAACCAACAGACCACCACCACTCGCAGCACCACGTGGGGTCGCTGCTCAGCCAGTCGCCCGGCCAGGGCGTGCCGCACATCTCCCTGCCCAGCAACAGCTCCGTCACCCGCGCTGTAGTCTATTTTTGCGGCCGCGCCATGTGCTGCCTCACTTCCTCATCCCTTCACTCTTGCCCCTTCATCTCCTCCTCTTTTTGAGACTTTTTCCTCCTGCCCCCCCTGCCCTCCTCCTCATCCCTCCTGCTCTCCTGCTCCCTCTATCCTTCCTCTCAACAGGTGGGGTGCAGCATGCTGCTGGTCGGCTGCCTGCGCATCTCCTTTGTGCAGCTGCACCCGTTTCATCTCCCTCTCCTCTCTCATGTTTCCTTCTCCACCTCCCCCCCCCCCCCCCCCCTCCCTCCCTTCCCTCCTCGACTTCCTCACAGGTGGCATTCGGCATGCTGCTGGTTGGCTGCCTGCGTATCGGCACCCTCTCCCACTCCCTCTTCTCTGCCTCCAACCCCAACCACCTCGCCCCCATCCCCGACCACTCAACACCCACCTTTTCCTCCACCTCCGCACTCTCCTCTCCCTTCCCCTCACTCTCCGCCTCCTCCTCTGCTGATCCCGGCCTTGAATCCCACCATCTGCCAGCCCAAGTCTTCCCAATGCGCCGCCGACTGTTGCAGGTGAGTCTGTTTTTTTCGTTAGTCTTTTTTAGGCTGTCTGTCTCATGAAAGTCTCTTGTATCAGGGCATACTTGTATCCAACGACTTATTAGTGTAACGCAGTCAGCAGAAGTCTTATGTAGAAGAATCAAGTGTATGCGCCTGCCACATGTGCGTCAGCGGCTTTGGTACCAATTGCTTACTCCCCAAACGAGCCCCTTTTTCGTTCAAAAGTCATGAGACAAACGTTCTCATATGTTGCTCTCGTTCCTCTCCATCCTGACGAACAAGCATGGCGTTTCGCTGCTTATGCGGACCTGCTGAATGCTATGGCTCTCTCTATAAGAGCATTCGCCACGCCTGTCTCGTGAAAGGGTTGCTTCTTGCCTTGCTATCTACTGATTCTCTGTCCTTGCACTGTTACCCTACCCTCGTTATTCCAGGCAAGCACACGCGGATTGTTCTCTCAACACCTGCTGACAGATGGTAAGCCCCGCTCGCACCATACCGTCCCCACCGCTCTCCACCACGCCACTCCTCTATGCACCAGCATATGACTCTTCGAATTCCTCGCCGGATCCCCATCGTTCTCTTGCTACTGCCTTGCTTCTCTCCAACCAGGCGATGATGAGGAGCCGAGTGCACTGGGCGAGCTGCTGGGGTGGCTCATGGCGGCCATCTACATGGGCGGGCGCATTCCCCAGATCTACCTTAATGTACGTATGCGCTGGTGTATGCGTCAGTACATCGATGCGTTCTGCTGCTGTGTTGGAACTTGGTGCGTGCTGCTTGTTGCGGCACCCCAATATTACCTGCGCACCTTCCCGAGGGCCTCAGTCCCCCCTTATGCATGTTGCACGTTGCCGCACTTCAACGTACACTCTTAATCATGCACCCTCTGCCTCTTCTTCTCCCCTCATGTGCATGCAGATCCAGCGTGGCACAGTGGAGGGACTCAGTCCGCTCATGTTTCTCTTTGCCCTCGTTGGCAACGCCACCTACGTTGGCAGGTGAGCCTCTCAACTCGACAACGCTTCTGAGAGCAGGGGTTGAGAGGCATGCAGTGCATGTGCTGACAGCTTTCGTCGAATCCTCAGGCATCACTTGTTCGCCCCTTCACCTCCCTGCGCAATGTAATTCTCCCCATCCTGTCTTTCCTCCCCATGTTGTGCCGTGCAGCACATACAGGCTCCACAGTAGGCTTAGCATGCCTTAATTCTCCTTGAACACATCCTCCTTTGCCCTCCCCTTTTGCCTTCTGCTCCCCTCCCCCTCCCCATCCCTCCCCTACCCCTCACCCTTCCCGCCTCCGCTCTTCCCCCCTGTCCTTGCACGACACACCAGCATAGGGGCGTGCCGCATGGAGGGGTGGAACATCAGAACCCCCCCAAAACCTCTCCACCTCGCCATACCCCTCTTTCCTTCTTAACTCCTATCCCTACTCCCCCCTGCGCACGTCAACAGCATTCTGGCGCGCAGCATGGAGTGGCGACACATCAAGCCCAACATGCCATGGCTCGTTGACGCTGCTGTCTGCGTGCTGCTCGACCTCTTTGTAAGCCCCCACACCTCTTTGTAAACCTCCTCATCTCTTTATAAGCCGCCGCACCTCTTTGTAAACCTCCACACCTCTTTGTAAGCCCCCCACACCTCTTTGTAAGCCTCCACAACTCTTTATAGTCCCCCACATCACTTTCACAAGCAGATTTTCCAAATTTGACATTTGCGCATGTCTTACATAACATCATGACGTGTTTTATAACATCATGTATACCTGCTCCACATCCCTTGTGTGTCTGTGATGCTGCCTGCTGTAGATCCTCTGCCAATTTGCCTACTACAGCTACAAGAATTCAAAAGAAGAAAGCACAGACGATGACTACGAGGAAGTCAAATAGGCTCAAAGCCTTTTGAGCCTAGAGAGTGTTTTGCAAGCAGCGATACATGCCCATTAGTTAGCAACTCCCCTTGCGAAGGGCATGGAGAACGGTTTTATCATTTTGACATTGTTGCTGAGGAGGCGCTCATTGATTGTGCCTATGTAATGCAATACATAGATTGCGCATTCTATGATCGATTACGTACATTATTGAACCCTATATGGCTCTTCTGGATACCCTAGTGAATACTCCACATCGGCCTCCATCCATCCATTCCCACTGAAGGCAGCGCACTAGACTGATCGCTATTCCGCTGCAGCCAAGGTGTGGGACACGTAGCCCAACATGCTATGGCTCATTGATTGCCCTGCCCACCATTGTTACTGCAATATTAGATGACCTTGGGAGATGATGTGTGTCCATCCACTGCACAGCTCTTTCTAGAGGTGTTCATACCCACCAAGGAGCCGGAGAAAGGTATAATATCTTTAACTAACGTAAATACTGCATTCATGTATTACAGCGCTTCTTGCAGAGCAGAGCAGAGAACAGCGGAACACAGAGCAAGCATTCAGTGTGTGAAGAGGGTGACTGAGCAGTCAGCGCCTGCTGTGAAGAGCCACGGCTGGGACGGGTGGAAGGCACACGCGTACAGACCTGCAGGCACAGAGAAGGGTGGCGTTGGGGAGAGAGGATAAGAGGGTGGGGACGAGACAATGAGGGAGTTGGGAGTGAGCGTGAAAGCAAGAGTGGGTAGAAATGGAAGGGGTGGATGCACAGACGCACAGGCCTGCAGGGCAGGGAAGTCTGGGGATGGTAGACGGAAATGACGTGGCTGGGAGGAGAGAACAAGAGGATGGGGATGAGTGAACGTAACAGCATGATGAATGATAATGTTTTGCACATGGCTCACTAGAAAGAGGCAACACAGAATCCATGCACTCTTGGAGAAGGACGGCGACGAGGCCGCTTGCGAGGGTGGGGGGGGACGCGGAGAATCTTGAGAGGCACGACGAGTGGTGCAGCGAGCGGCACGACGCGGGGCATGGGACAACGCCTCTATGCGAGAATGGAAACAGGAGTAAAACACCACCCAACTCACTCTTGGAGGAGGACGATGATGAGGCAGCTTGTTGTGGGGGGCGGCGGGGCATGGAGGATCTTGAGCGGCACGACGAGGGGGTCAGGGAGATGGTGCTAATTTAGCATTCAAACAAGGGCAAACAAAAAAACAACGCACTCTTGGAGGAGGACGAGGATGAGGCAGCTTGTTGTGGGGGCGGCGGTGCGCGGAGGATCTTGAGGGGCACGATGAGGGGGTTCTGCAGCAGGTCGGCAAAGACCATCCCGTGGAAGGCAAAGGCGGACCCGTCCTCCGCCGCACTGGCGAAGAGCGGGTACGTGGGGTGGAAGGCGACACTCCTCACGTCCATGCCGCCGTGACTCCTGCAGAGGGGTTGGGTTGGGGGAGAGAGGGTGGAAGACAAGTGGATATGGGAGGAAGACAACGAATGACTTTTGAGGTGCCTCAAAAGCAACCTGTCCTCTGCTGCACTGGCGACGTGGGGTGAAAGGCCACAGACCGCACGTCCATGCTGCCTTGACTCCTGATGAAGGTGGGACACAAGACAAGAGATCGGGGGGTTGAAAGGGAGCTGAGTGAAGGAGGTATGGATGGAAGGCAAAGGCTGACCCGTCCTCTGCTGCACTGGCAAAGTGCGGGTACGTGGGGTGAAAGGCCACTGACCGTACGTCCATGCCGCCTTGACTCCTGCAGAGTGAGAGGGTGGAAGCACACGGGATGGGAGGGGCATTGGGAGAGGAACAAGGGATGAGTGAGAGTCGTAGCGTGGTGTGCTGTGCTGCACTGGTGATGAGCGGGTTGGTGGGGGAAGGTCACCAACTGACAGCACGTCCATGCCGCTGTTTCTCTTGGAGGGTGGGAAGTAGGGGCACGGCGATGAGGGGGTGGAGGGAGGCAAGACAGATGGGTACGGATGGAAGGGAAAGGATGAGAGAGCCATGCTCTGCTTAAGGTTTTCTTGATTAATATAGCTCACCTCAAGACGCGGTAGGGGCGCGTGGAGAGGTCCATATCAATCCATGCCACCTTGCCCTCGTCTCCCCCCACCAGCAGATGATCGCCTGGCATCCAGGCACAGGGGAGGTTGGGTTGGGGGAGTTAGGAGGGTAGGGTGTAAGTTGTAACAATTGCCATAATTTGGGTTGGGAGCAAGACATGATAGCCTGGAATGGGAGTGGTTTGGATCAAGGAGGGGCTGGTGAGATGATGGACGCATGCATGCATGGATAGCGGAGGAGGTATTTTCTTGACGTTAGGAGGAGGTGTGACGCAACGCAATGGCCCGGTTCATGCCCCCTGCTGTCTTCTTCAAGGGGCACTGCGATGTGCCTGGTCTGCCTCCTGCTGCTCTCTCGAGAAAGCACTGCAATGCGCCTGCTCTGTCTTACCCCTGCACTAGTTCATGCCCCCTGCTCTGAGGGATGAATGGTGAGTGAGTGGATCTGCTTGATGTTGGGCATGTAGGTGGGAGGACAGACGACAACAGGAGGGCAGACCTACAAACACAGCTTTCACTGGTACTTACTCCTACCTACCTGAGGGACGGATGGCGAGACGAGTGAAGAGATCTGCTTGATATTCGGCATGTATTGGAGCAGCAGGCAGAGGCGCAGCAGGCAGAGGCGCAGCAGGCAGAGGCGCAGCAGATGGTAGAAGCCCAAAGAGGAGCGTGCGCGACGACACAAAGAGGATGGGCTTGGACGGGTGGTCCTACTCAGCAACCCACCACTGCTTTCACTGGTGGCCCCACGATCCTACCCACCTGAGGGGTGAATGGCGAGTGAGGAGATCTGTTTGATGTTGGGCATGTACTTGCGCAGCAGGCACAGCCGCAGCAGGTGGTAGGATCGCACGAGCGTGCGTGACGACACGAAGAGGATGGGCTTGGAGGGATGGAAGGCCACCGCTGCAATGCGGCGGTCCCCACCCGCTGCTGCCTTCTTGAATGGACACTGCGATGCGCGGCGGGTGAGCTGGTGGATCACCACCGCCCTGCTGCCACGTGAAGTGGGAAGAGAGGAAAGAAGAGGATGGGTTTAGATGGGTGGAAGGCCACGGCTGCAATGCGCCGGTCCCCGCCCGCTGCTGCCTTCTTGAATGGGCATTGGGATGCGCGACGTGTGAGCTGGTGGATCACCACTGCCCTGCTGCCACGTGGAGGGAGGGAGAGACGAAAGAGGAGGGGAGAGAGGATAGACGGAGGTAAGAGAAGGTGGGAGGGGTGGAAGGCCACGGCTGCTATGCGCCGGTCCCCGCCCGCTGCTGCCTTCTTGAACGGACACTGGGATGCGCGGCGGGTGAGCTGATGGATCACCACTGCCCTGCTGCCACGTGGAGGGAGGGAGAGACGACAGAGGGGAGCAGAAAGACAGGATACAGAGGGGTAAGAAAGGAGAGCACGAGTGTGCGGGACGACACGAAGAGGATGGGCTTGGATGGGTGGAAGGCCACGGCTGCAATGCGCCGGTCCCCGCCCGCTGCTGCCTTCTTGAATGGACACTGGGATGCTCTGCGGGTGAGCTGATGAATGACCACTGCCCTGCTGCCACGTGGAGGGGGGAGAGTGGAAAGAAGAGATGACGGAAGAGAGAGTTAGGGAGTGGTGCTCGAAGGGACACTGAGAGGCGCGGCGGGTGAGCTGGTGGATCACCACTGCCCTGCTGCCACGTGGAGGGAGGGAGAGCGGAAAGAAGAAGAGAGAATACAGGTTTAGGATCAAACATAAGGATGGAACATATGGATTGACGGGATCAATTGGCTCTTCAAGGAACACTGCGTTGCACTGCAGGCGAGATGGCGAATCACCACTGCCCTGCTGCCACGTGGAGGAATTGGGGCAAGGGTATAGGGGTTGGGTGTGGGGAAGTGGGAAGGATGGACTGGAGAAGGAGGGGGAGGAAAGTGGTAGGGGAGACAATGAAAGTAGAGAGGAGAGGAGGAGCAATGCAGCAGGAAAACGGGATTCCTGACCAGCAATGGAAGAAAATATGAGCGCACATGGTGTGTTCTAAGCAGATATGCTGGGAAAACCAATAGGCAATCAATGGGCAAGCCTTCAGATTGAAGTACCAAGAAACAAGAACTGAAAAGCAAGAAGCAAAAGGCAAGAGGCAGGAAGAAGTAAGGACTTATCATTTGGAGAGACGGAAGCAAAGTAGTCAGCCTTGCGATGCCACGTCACACTTGAAACTTGCTGCATGGGGACAGCGAATAGGATAGCATATTGTGAGGAAAGCAGGGGGAACATTGGGACGAGCTGAGTCGAGCAGAGAAGCTACGACAGACATAATGTGTAACAGAAAAGTTGCTCAAAATCCTTTCAGTTCATGTCAGGGTGGAAGGGTTGTTTCAGCGGAAACAAAGACATAAAGTGAAGTCACCTCCCTGCATTAACCATGTATTGCGTAAAAGCCTGATACCAACAACACCAACAACACCACCTCCTTTCCTTCAACTTTGTACTATTCAACAACACCAACAAGGTGACTTTTGAGTCGACCCAAAAGTCAATACTCACCTCCTGGTGCCTTAGTCGTAGACCCTTCAGCTTGCCTCCCACCCCCCGATACGCACTCCACGTTACCCCCACCCCTGCTGCCGCATCTGTGGCAGAAAAAAAGGCAAGTGGGGTTTCAACGGTTTCAATATAGGAGCAGAAACTGTGTGGGATGAGTCGATTTTCAAGTCGACTCAAAAGCATTTGAACAACCCTCCCCTCCATCCACACCCATTCACACCCATCCACAACCATCGAAACCCATCCCCAACCCATCCCCACCCACCTTCTTTCCACCCCTCCTTGGCCTCTAACAGCTGCTCCACCGCCCTCTCCTCCTCCTCCGTTCCCCCTTCCCCTGGCAGCAACACCACATCCGTGCCCCTGTCAGACGTTTAGGACGAGGGAGGGATGAGAAGGAGGGAACCATATGGGAGGACAAGACAAGAGCGATTCCGCCCTCCCCTCGCAGCAACACCACGTCCGTCCGTGCCTCTGATGAGACAATAGCCGGTGAGTTGACATGGTCACATGGGTATCTGCAGCGCCCTTTTCTGCCCGTGAGCAGAAATAAGTCGGACGATGCGGGGGGGGGGGGGGGGGGGGGGGGGGGGGGGGGGGGGCGAGACGAACGGCAGGAGCGGGGCAGAGAGAGAAGGGAAGTGGAGAGGGGAGAAAGGAGACGACAGAGGAGAGGAGAGGTGGGGAGGTGGGGTGAGAGAAGGGGAGGGGCGGGGAGAGGTTCGGAAGGGAGAAAAGAGGAGGGGCGAGAGGAGGGGAGGGGAAGGGAGGGATGAGAGGAGAGAGAGGGAGAGCTCACGAGGTGATGGCGAGGATGGGGCGGGAGGCAGCAGGGCTCCATGCCACGTGTTTGACTGCCATTGGCAGATGGATGACTCTCCGGCACCGCGTGGTATCCACCTCCCACACCCTCACTGTGCCGTCATCACTGCCTGCAGTGCGGTGCAGAGGGGTGGAGAGGAATACAGAAGGGTTGGAAACAGGGTGATCGTGTGCTGCACCGCGTTTTGTCCACCTCCCACGCCCTCACTGTGCCATCATCGCTGCCTGCGGGGCGGCGCAGTGAGGTGCAGAGGAAAAAGGATGGGATTGGCTACAGGGGTTAGTGTGGCATTCACTTGTGTGCACTGTCTGTTGGAAACCGTGACGTCATCAATGCCTGCAATGTGGTGCAGAGGAGTGCAGAGGGGGAGTAGGGAGAAGAGCATAAGAAGACATGGAAGAAGGGGATGAGAGCATCAGCCAGTGCATCAAGTATGCGTCGAGTTGAGCGTCAGCTGTCAACCTGTCACATCGTGTGAATCATCTCTTGATGTATACCTGAAGCGAACCACTGCCCGGGAGGGGTGCAGAGAGAATATGGCACGGTGGCACGATGACCTAGGTGAAAGCACTCGCTCACAGCAAGCAACACACTCCTCCAGATCACATCACCCATAACAGCACCGCCTCATAGACAATACCTGAGGCGAGCCATTGGCCGGAGGGGTGCAGGGAGATGGACCGCACTGTGCCTTGATGGCCCAGGCGAAAGCATTCACACACAGCAGCACACTCCTCCACACCACATCACCCATGCAAGCACTGTCTCATAGACCATACCTGAGGCGAGCCACTGGCCGGAGGGGTGCAGGGAGATGGATCGCACTGTGCCTTGATGGCCCAGGTAGCGCAGGGAGAGGGAGTGCGGGAAGGGACGCAAGTCCTTCCTCTTGGGTAACTTGGGCAGCAACGCATCGGGGTCGATCATAATCTGCGGTGCGGAGGGACCAATCGCAGATTCAGTAAATGAGAGGCAAGAAATGGGAAGCAACAAATGAGAGGCAAGAAATGGGAGGCAACAAATGAGAGTCAAGAAATGGGAGGCAACAAATGAGAGGCAAGAAATGGGAGGCAACAAATGAGAGGCAAGAAATGAGAGGCAAGAAATGAGAAAAGGAACACATGAGAGCGCGGTCGGAAGTAGCAAAGATGCCAACACAGTTTCAAGAAGTGCCCGAACACAATGCACACTTAAGTCCCAACACCACACACCCTTCCACCCTGCGACAACGCACCCGGTTCTTCTTGACGCGCGGGCACAGGTAGAGGTCGAGGCAGCGCTCAAAGCGTTCTCGGATGAATCGAGGATACGCCGGCACAGAACGAAGGGACTGGTACCTGGTGATGGCGGGGGAGGAGATGCGCAGGGCGGAAGGGGATCATAGGTGGAACAGGGGAGACACGGCGGAGAGGAGGAGACTTTTGGGACACCTCAAAAGCAGCAGCAGCAACAGCAGCATGCAAGATGGAATATCCGATTTGGCAGGACCCGAAACCCACGAGGAGGTGAGGAACGGGAGGTGCGTGTGAGCGTGTGAGCACGTGTTCGGCTGACGAAGAACCGGACAGGGGGAGAGGAACGGGGGCAGAACGCTCAACGTACTGCTTGGGCACAACGAGCGAGTCGGAGGTGCCCTCATACTCTGCAGCACGGCACAGCAGAGCCTAGCCGTCACAGATGCAACACAGCACTCACAGCAATGCGCACTCACTGCTTGGGCACGAAGAGCGAGTCGGAGGTGCCCTCATACTCCGCCTGCATCATCTTCTCCGCCACCTCCTCCTCCGTTGGTATGTACTCCACTGGCGGGTTGTATGACTCCTCGTGTCCTGAGGGACAATAAGTGCGACGGGGCAGGAGGCAGGGCATGTGATAGGATAGCTAGGGGCATTGGCACAGCTCATACTGCCACCTCCTCCTCCATGGGTATGTAGTCCACTGGCGGGTTGTACGACTCCTCATGACCTGTGAAGGAAAGGGCAGGAGAGAGGGTGGGGCGTGTTGTTAGCAGTGCTCATATTGCCTCCTCCTCCGTGGGTATGTACTCCACTGGCGGGTTGTACGATTCCTCGTGACCTGCACATGCCAGAGCGCAGGCAGACGACAGGGTAGGAGGGGCAGAGTCAGAGGCATTGGCATGGATCAATTTGCATCCGCCTCTTCCAGGATTTGGGACCAAAAAAAGAAAAAGAAAAAAAACCATGGGAACAAAAAGAGTAGCATGGGGGGCGAAGCTGACCTGGCAGTTTGGGCTTAGGAGCAGGGACGAAGCTGAGACCGTTGACGTTCTTGGTCTTGTCAGACTGAGAGGCAATGGCTTTCAGGTCGTCTCCCCACATCAAGTACACCGCTTGCTGCTGCCCCTCGCTCTCCTTCTGCTTCCTCTCCTTCTCCCTCTGCGCTAGCGTCTTTATCGTGCCTTTCCGCAGTCCCCGCACCAGCCGCACAATCTGCGCGTGTGGGGAGGAGAGGTGAGGGAAGAGAGGGGGAGTTGGGGGTGTGTGGAGATTAGATAAGTGGGGTGAGACCGTGAGAGTGGAACCAGAAGATGTGTGAGACTGTGTGAGACGCAATGGCTTTCAGGTCGTCTCCCCACATGAGGTACACCGCCTGCTGCTGCCCCTCGCTCTCTTTCTGCTTCCGCTCCTTCTCCCTTTGAGCTAGCGTCTTGATCGTGCCTTTTCTCAGCCCGCGCACCAAGCGCACTATCTGCACGCACGTGGAGAATCGAGGGAGGATTGGGGGATGCATCAAACGATTCTCCTCTTAGTGGAGGGAGGGAGGCGAAGGGAGCAACGAGATGCCATGCTGGCAGCAACTGTTAGCTTAGCATATTAGGAAAAAAAAACGTTTGCGTATAAGCTTTTGTGTAGAACATGCTATGGTAACCGGTTTCCGCTTGAAGCCGATTCCGATCACGCACTCCAAATTGCTTGCACACGCAACGCAAACACCCACCCAATCACCGTTGCCAAAAGCGCAAAACTCCATTCCAGCCCACCCACGTGTGCGCTCCCAAACCCTGCTTCCTTCCTTGCCCTCGCCCTCTCACCTGTTAGGCCTTGTGCGGGATGGACCCATGCCTGCTCGCCTCACCTGCTCGCCTCTGCTCACCTGCTTGGCCTCGTGCTTGGAGGGGGTGAATCGCCTCTTGGGCTCCGGCTGGGCGTTGAGGGGGTCCCACTTCTCGTCCCAGTCAAACCAGTCCAGGTACGGCTGGGGGAAGAAGGTGGAGCGGAGAAAGGAGGGACGGGAATGAGCAATGGGAATTCAAGAACAAACAGGATAAAAAAACAGTGGGATCGGGATGGGGAAAGAGGGAAAAACAGTGGGCGCTTAGAAGACAATCAAACAAAAACCAGCCACAAAGAGGGGTCTGCTTTTGCTCTTTCCCCATCCAACCACAGCAGTACGGCTGGAGGGAAAGGGGATAGAAGCAGCAGCAGAAATTCACAGTGACGGTATGCATGTAATATCCCTCCTTGAGAATCGTGACGGTCCCTTTATTTTTTTTTTTTTTTTTTTTTTTTTTTTTTTTTTTTTTTTTTCCCTGAATTCTGCTACTTCTCGCTTTTGTAATCAAGAATTGATGACTCTCTTTGCCTTCTTTGCTTGCAGCAAGAAAAAGTTATCAAATCAGCTCGCCTCACCTCATAGGGGTTGACATTGGCGTGTGGGGTGCGCCCCTCCCTGATCCGGCGGATCATATCAATGTCCTCCTCTGTCAGTCGAATCTCCTCGTCGTTGTACTCATCGTACACCACCTTCCTGATGGGGGATGGATGGAAGGAAGGAAGCACCATGTATAGAGCGGTCAGGGTAGGAAGGACCTTTAGTCACCAGCCACTCTGTCAGACGGATCTCCTCGTCGTTGTACTCGTCGTATACCACCTTCCTGATGGGGGATGGAAGGAAGGAAGGAAGGAAGGAAGGAAGGAAGGAAGGAAGGAAGGAAGGAAGGAAGGAAGGAAGGAAGGAAGGAAGGAAGGAAGGAAGGAAGGAAGGAAGGAAGGAAGGAAGGAAGGAAGGAAGGAAGGAAGCAGTAGGTATATTTAGAGCGGTCAGTAGACTCTATAGTCAACCGGCCACTCTGTCAGCCGTATCTCCTCGTCGTTATACTCGTCGTATACCACCTTCCTGGAAGGAGATGGAAGGGAGGAAAGAAGGAAGGAAGGAAGCAGTAGGTATAGAGCGGTCAAGGAAGGCTTTAGATTCACGGGTCACTCGGTCAGCTGAATCCCCTTGTCGTTGTACTCATCGTGTACCTCCTTCCTGAAAAGATGCACAAGACTTTGGGTGAACTCCCAGCCTCCTCCCAAGCCACTCTGTCTGTGCACAGCACAACTCTACAAACACCCCACCCAGGCACACCCATCCAAACTCCGTCATGCAAACCACCACAGCACAACAACTAGGCGTGGGTCATTGTGTCCTGCTCGTCCCCTAAGAGGCCACCCTGGTAACCAGCCACGCCACACACACACAGCGCCTTCACCACACACTCGCAATACCCCACCCCAACCCAGCACAACCACCAGCACCCCAGCAGCAACGCACCAGGCATCAGGGTCGTCAGTGTGGGCGAGGAACTCGTCCAGCTTGTCCCCCTTAGTGGCCACTCTGGCAGCCCGCAACATCACACACACAGAGACCTCAGTGAACACTTGCAATACCCCCGCGGACCCACCTGCACCGCAGCACACCCACCAGCACCGCAGCACACCCACCAGCAACGCACCAGGCATCGGGGTCGTCGGTGTGAGCTAGGAACTCGTCCAGCTTGTCCCCCTTAGCGGCGCGCCCCTTTTGCTTCATAATACGCTTCCCCTCCCTGTCGTACCCGATGTGCCCCTCCTCCTTGTACCACTCCAGGGGCACCCTGCCCACCGTGTTACGCGATGGTCGCTGGAAAGGAAGGGGTGAGGGTGAGGGGGAGGGAGGGAGTGAAAAGCAGGGATGCAAGGAGGGGAAGGTATGAGTGTGCTACACGCCCCTCCTGTCATACCCAATGTGCCCCTCCTCCTTGTACCACTCTAGTGGGACTTTGCCCACTGTGTTGCGCGATGGGCGCTGGAAAGAGAGGGAGGCGGGGGGGGAGAGGAAGGAGAAACAGAAACTGAATGGGAGAAGCAGGGAGGAGGAGAGCGGGAGAGTGGGAGAGCAGGAGAGTGGGAGAGTGGGAGGGCGGGAGAGTGGGCGGGGCGGGAGAGTGGGCGGGGCGGGAGAGTGGGCGGGGCGGGAGAGTGGGAGGGCGGGAGCGCGGGAGAGTGTGAGGGCGGGAGAGTGGGAGGGCGGGAGCGCGGGAGAGTGTGAGGGCGGGAGAGTGGGAGGGCGGGAGCGCGGGAGAGTGGGAGGGCGAGAGAGTGTGAGTAGTAGGGGGAGAACAAGCGCACCTCGTCCTCCGAGGAGTCGCTCTCCTCCGCCGCATGGCCCGCTCCATCGCCCTCCCGCCCCTCTTGCTCCTCCCCCTTCTCCCCCCTCCCCCTCCTCCGCTTCCCCTTCCTCTTCGCTCTCCTCGCCCTCTTCCTCTTCATCCTCCTCCTCCTCTCCCTCCTCTCCTTCCTCTCCTTCCTCCTCTTCTTCCTCATCCTCCCCCTCATCATCCCCCTCCCCTTCGGAACCCTCCTCACCCTCCCCTCCTCTCCTTCCTCGTCCTCCTCATCATCACTCCCCTGCACCTCCTCCTTCCCCCCATCCTCTCCGCCATCTCCCCCGCCAGCACCCCCCTCTTCCCCCTGCAGGCGGAAGTTCCCCCACGGCCGCCGCAGCAGGTCCTTCAGCGCCCGCCGCTCCTTCCGCTCCGCCGCCGCATCTGCGCGCTTCTGCTCGCGCGCCAATCGCGCCGCCTGCAATGCGGATTTTTTCTCCGCTTGGTCTTGCGCCACTGCCAGACTGACTCCAGACTCACCCTCTCGCTTCTCGTCCCTTCCCTCTTCCTCTTCCTCCTCATCGCCTTCCCCCTCCCCTTCACTCGCTTCCGACTCTGACGAATCGGAGTCCAGATCGTCAGCCGGAATTAGTTTGTTAAAATCCTCGCTTCCGTCGTCCTCCTGCCCTTCCTCCGACGCTGCATCGACCGCTTTAATCTCCTCTGCAGCCTCTCCCGCTTCGGGCACGTCTTTATTCGCCTCTACCGGCCGTAACTCCTCCTCCGCAGCCATAACAATGGCTGTACCGGAAACGACAGCAAAGGGGATAAAGGCAACGAGACAATAGAAACGAAGCGGGTGACAGAAGATGCAGGGCGATTGTAGTTGCGAGGAACGAAAGTACTAGGTCCAGCCAAAACCCGAAGTTGTGCGGCGAAGGGTTGAACGAGTGAATTGGGGAGGGTTGAAGGGAGGTTCTGGAAGGGAGTAAATGTCTCGCTTGGAGATAATCCGTTAATCAAATGAACTTGTGATCGAGGAGTTCAACGAGCATTTACTTGGATAGTACATCATGAACCAAGAAACACAAGTTCCACTAAAAATTGATCTAAAAATATCTCTGCTCTGATTTTATCTCGACACACTACTCTCCTTTCAAGCGGGTAAAAAATCCTTCAAAACATTAAGATACAGGAAGGAGGTCCAGTAACATATTGTACAACAACTGCACCCAGCCATCTATCGGCCCAGGGTGACAATAATGAAGGCAGTCCTTGGCCCCTCTATGGGAATCCGGCCTCAACTCAGTCATACTCTCCACATCCATATACACAGCACCCACCGCCTCCGCCACTCTCCTCGCAATTTTATTCTGTTGCGCAAGCTTATCCCAATTATACTTGTCCACATGCTCGAGACCCCCTTCACCCATATCACTATCACTCGTGTTACCCCTTTCAACCTTCTTTTCCAAGGGGCGATCGTAACGCATGCACCCCCTATGCCCCGCCGGCGTCCCGCGCACAAATACAAGCAGATCCGGAAACTGTTCCCGCAACCACGCCAACTGCCCTGAGACCTCCCACGCAAACGAGTCATGAGGTGTGAAGTGTGCACCACGGTTGACAATCAGAATCGACACGTTCTCCCGCCGCAGGTCGTCCACCCACGAGCCGTGCACTCGCTTGGTGAGCCACTGGTTGCGCCAGGCGGGCGAGAGCAGGTAGTCATCGCGCACAAAGGACAGATTGAACTCCAGCGAGGAGCGTGCAGGTGACAGTGGGCTTCCTTCCTCACTGCTGCTGCTGCTGCTACTCTCGCTCCTCCCCTCCACATCACCACCCTCACCCCTCGCTTCCACGTCCCCACAGAGAACAGCGGTCCAGCAGCGCTGCAGCGACAGCCAGGGGGAGTACGAAGCATCCCTCACCCGCCGGCACAGCACCGAGATTTGCCCGCGCCGCACACGTGCCCCTGGGTCCTCCGCCCCCACACGTGCATTGTAGCGCAGGGCGTGGGCCAGCTGCAGGTTGAGCGAGTCCCCCACGATCATCACGCTGCGCCCTGCTATCGCCCGGCAAAGTGCCTCGCCTGAAAACCGCTCCCACCGCCCACATGTACCCTGCCTGCTGCTGCTGGGGGTGCTAGGGGCGTTTGAGGCACCACTGTTCCCGCCACCATCGCCACCACCGCTGCCGCCGCCGCCGCTGCCGCTGCTGCTGCTGCTGCTACTGCTGCTGCTGTTGCTGCTGCTGTTGCTGCCCTCCCCCCTTTCCCCGCCTACGCCCTCACCTTCTCCGTCCCCTTCCACCCTCCATTCGTACTTGAGCGCTTCTCTCACCTTCCATTGCGCCTCTCCCCGCCCTTCCTCCACCACCCTATCCGCCTCACGCATTGCCACCGCACCAGGCACAGCCCCCAAGTGCCGCTCATCACACAGGCTCATCTCGCCCGGCCACGGCAGCAGCCGCGGCGTGGCGTTGAATCTCCACCGTCCGTTGCTGCTGATGCAGGCGAAACGGTCTCGAAAGGATTGGACCTGTGCTGACGTGGCGAGGACGGATCCGGGGATGCGATCCCATTGGCCGATGATGCTCTGGAGGCCTTCGGCTGTGCTGGGAATGGACGGTGGGGATGATGCTGAGCTGTAATCAACAGACGAAACACCTGGTTCAGTTTCTGCTGCTGCAACAGCAGATCCTTCACCTGCCCCTGCACCTGCCCCTTCACCTGCCCCCTCACCTGCCCTTTCACCTGCCCCTCCACCTGTTCCTGCTGCTGTGCCTGCTACTTCTGCGACCAGTAGGTCAGGTGTTGCTCTTCTATTGTCAGCAGAAAGCACTGTACCATCACGACCACTTGCTAAAATACTGGTACTACCATCGGTTCCCGGTGAGGCTAGAACGGGAATCAGTGCTGCAGAATCATCCCTGCGTGGGCTCAATGCTGCAGCATCACTGTATGGGGTGGAACCGGAGCCCAGACCAACATCATTCAATAAATCCGCTTCTGATTCTGCCGCCTTCCTTACCGCTGCTCCTGCTCCTGCTCCTGTTTCTATTTCTGCGACCTTCCATGCGGCTCCTTCTCCGGCTGCTTCTGCTTTGGCTTCAGTCAGTCGTTTCTGCGGGACGAGCGAGGAGTTAAGAGCGAAGGACTTGGGCTGGCTTATATCTGACCAAACGAGGCTGATTAGAACGAGAATACACCCTGCCGCAACCAAAGCTACCCCGTAGCCGGAACTGCCGCGGAAGCGCGGAGAGAGAGCGGCGGGCGGTGCGAACGTGGAGCCGTGGCGAAGCGACACGGGCATGAAGAGGATCTAACGGTTATTACCGTGTGGGATTAAGAAGGCATTCTGGAGAGCTTATCGCCAAAATAAGTACAAGTTACCACTGAGCAGAAATCAAGTGGCAAATGAATACCACATGTACTTAATTTGGATAACCTCACACGAAGAAAAAAGCAATCGTGTCGACGGTAGCCCCACTACGGACTGTTACGCGGCGTTGGATCGAGCGCTAGTCGATAGTGAGGGACAAAGAGCGTCATCTTTCAACCTCGACGTCTCGCTTTCGAGTGTGTGGAATAGCAGCAGAGGAGTGTTGATGGAGGAATATTCAAATTTATTCGAACAGGGAAACACGCAGTACGCGGCAGTGCGGTATCTTTTGAATAACCGCGCTATTGCATGTTACAGACTAAGGGAAAAACAAATCCACTACACAAATTTATATATACAGGAATGGAAATAGAAGCTTCCAAGTCAACCATGTGTGTTCCTCAAACCAGTCAGATATCATCTTCGTCATCGTCATCATCTCCGTCAGTGGTGAGTTTTGTGCCCAGCATTCGTCTTTTAACCCTGCACATCACATGCAGAATCAAGGTGGAAGAAAAGGCGTACCATACTTAGGTTAGCACTAGTGCAATGCAACACAAATCAAAAGAGCAGGCAAAAGCAAACAAACAAAAAAGCACAGATTGGTCCTTATCAAACATGCGAGACAACTCATACCTCATACTCAACCCTGCAACACTCCACTGCACCATACCTTCTAAAAAACGGCACAGGCTGCCGTCTTTGCTGCAGCCGCCTTTGACTCGCAGCATTATCTCGTGTCATCATTGCACTTGCTGCACCTCCTCCTGCTGCTCCTCCTGCTGCTCCTCCTGCTGCCCTTCCTGAACCCATCAAGCTGCCTTCTGCCCTTCTCCCCGTTCCCCCTGCTCCCATCATCTCCTCTCCTCCTTTCCCCTCTGCTGTACTGCTGATGGCACGTGGAAGGGCAGCCTCTGACTGTGACCATATCGGCTGGGACTGAGAATCCGTTTGGGACAGTATTGCTGGTTGTGACTGTAACGGTGCCACCTGTGCTACTGCATCCTCTGTTGTCCCCTGAGACTCCAGCAGCCAACTTTGAGAGCCACCATGTAACAATAACGAGGGATCCTGTGACATAGAATCAGGCTGTTTCTGCAACTGCTGCCCCTGCTGCCCCGCCTGCCCCTGCTGCCCCTGCTGCATCTGCTGTGTCTGCTGCGAATCCTGCCCCTGACCACTTCCCGAGCGACCTATCGCTAAGCCTGCTGTGTCCCTTGCCGATGCTGATGGTACCGCTTGTGCTGATGCTCGTGCTGAAGGTAATGCTGATGCTGCCAGAGGATGCTTCTGGGAAGGTGCATAGCCTTGCGAGCGTGACATCGACTGCGAGTGTGAGAGCGAGCGCGAGAGGGAACGGGAGGGAGCAGGTGCCACGTGGCTGCTTGTCATTCGCGAGGCGGACCTCGAGCGTGCCAGCTTGGACTTGGGGGGACCCAGAGGGCCATAGCTGAGTGCCGTGGCCTGCTCAACACGCACACACACGCAAATACACAGGGGCAAATGATAGGGCGCAGGGAGATACACTCACAAGTGGTGAAACAAGGAGAGGGACATACACATGCCTAGCCAGATGATTCTTCCCATCTCCCCTTCCTTCCAAAAACTGACCACGCTGTCTTAAACAGCTAGTCAATAGCCACTCCAGCCAAATCCTGACTAGTTAGTCATTTACGGCGCTAAACACCTTGGACTTGCTTTTGAGAATTGTCAAAAGTAACATCAACATAGTTGACGAGCAGGTCATTTATGGCGCTAAACATGCTGGACTTGCGACCTGCACACGACTCTCTTCAGCTCTTGCCGACCCCCCTTGTGCCACCCGTCCGCCTCTCCCTCCCCTTTTCCCCCGCCCCTCCCTCTTCCCATGCTGCTCCTACACTAGTGGAAAAAATATGAAAGTCATACCCGTGCCCTCCATGCCACCCGCTCTCCCGCCCAAAGCTCACCCTCTCCCGCCCAAAGCTCACCTTTTCCTCCTCCACCTCTGCCATTTGCCTTGCATGTGTGGCGCGCTCTGAGAAAGGGGGGAACCCCGAAGGCAAAGGGGAAAAGGCAAGGGAGGGGAGAGGAAAAGGGGAAAGAACGAATCATCGTGATTGTGGCATGAACCCCCTCTCTCTATGCCCCACTTGTGAGTGGTAAGTCGAGAAAAAAGATTCCGTGGCGTTTTGCGTCCCCGCCTCTTCCTTCCCCCAACATCCAAGCCTTTATCCAAGATAAACAAGCCCGTCCCCACCTTCCCTTCTCTCACCTCGTCTAAGGGTCTTCTCCAGCTGCAGTCGGTCCCTCCCGTCCTCCCCCCTTCCCCCGCCCGTTCCCCTCCCCTCCCCTCCCCTCCCCTCCCCTCCCCTCCCTTCACTCACCTCGTCTAAGAGTCTTTTCCAGCTGCAGTCGGTCCCTCACTAGCGCGAACGCGATTTCCGCCGCCACTGATTCGCACGACGGGAACAGGGGTGACGACGCTGGTGACGTGGCTGACCCAATTGCTTCTAACGAGGATGACTGTAACGAGTGCGAGTGTGACGGTAACGGTAGTTCCACGCCAGCGTCAGTTTTCCCTTCCCCTCCTCCGGCGTCTTTTCCTGGCCAATCCACTCGCTTCAGCTTGAATCTAATTCGCGGTGCGCTTTCGGCCTTCCGGCCCGTGAGCGTGATTGTATCGAGGGAAGGGAGATGACTGGCGGGCAGGGGCGCTGCGATTGGAGTGAGCAGATGGGAGGGGGAGATCGGACGGCCGAGATGACGGCAGGGACGCTAAAGAAAGACAAAGATTCACAATGGCCACAAAGAAGAACAATGGTACGGTATTAGACACGCAACGAGGAGCTGAGAACAACAAAGGGAACAAGCCATAAAAAAGAGGCATACCATCGCCGAGCGAGCAATCAAAGGGGGGGGCGGGGGGGGGGGGGCTGAAGCGGTGGAGCCGGTGCCGTATTTCGATGACGGTACCTTGGTTGGGGCGCGCTCGGGCGAGAGCGGGTGCGACAGAAACGTGGCGCGAGGAGAGCGACTCGCGGATCAACGCGAGGAATTCCGCGAAGCTTCCCCCCCATCCCAGGTCGTCCTTCTGCGCGGCGTGCACCGTCCAAGAAGTGCAATATCAGATCGGACGAAAAGCGAAGAGAGTTATGCGAGATTTTGGAACGGGAAAAGAAATGTCACTGTGTCAAAAAGCCTCCTGTGTCGAAAGGCATGACGGAAGCGAAATAACCAAGTCTGACACCACACTAGCAGTTGCACTTGAGCTGCCGCACTACGCGCTGTCGCACAAGGAGCTATCATGTTTGAGGCGCCTCGACTCCTTTCTGACAAAAAAAATGAAGGAGCAGCCGCACTTTGAAACAACAGCTCTCGCACCTCGTCTTCAAGGTCGTCTCGTGACAGTCGCGTGCGCCACGAGCTGCCGCAGAAGTCCGACACCAGCGCCTCCAGCTCCTCGAACTCCCTCCCACCGCACTCCATCCCGCCGCACTTCACCGAGGGCCCTTGGCTTTCGTCTCCCGCACGATTCCCCTCGCTGCTGCCACTGCTGTGGCTTCCGCTGTTCGTTTCACTGCCATCGTTGCTACTACTGCTGGGTACGCTGGTATTTGCGCCATCGCTGCAGGCGCGCACGAGAAAGATCAGCGGGCTTGGCGGCCGGCCCTGGATGGTGACAAAATCGGGTGTGACTGTACCGAAAATGGGGAGTAATGTTTCGCGCTTTCCGCTGTCATTCTTCGGTCCTGTCTGTTCCTTCGCGCCTAGCGAGTCCATCGGACGCGGCGCGACGACTCGCGACGGAGGGACTCGCATGCTGCCGCCGCGGTTGGCGCTACCTTCGCCGAATAACGCGGGAAAATTGGCCTAGTTGCTCGTCGAGTAGCTTTAAACCAGAGAGCACCAAAGTTTAAGTGAAATGAAGGATCGGACGTCAGCAGGTGACGGTAAGGTAGGTAAGTTTGGCGGCTGGTCGCTAGGTGAACGGCCAGGCGTGAGCAGCTGCTGTAGAGTTCTAGAACCCCTGACCACTTCCGTCTCAGTTGCTTCTGATTTGGTTGCGGCAGTCTGACGCGTGAGCTAGCAACCGCCATTGGCAAAGTGCTTTTTGACAGGAAAGGCGAAGAAGCATGTGCTTCTGCTGCCCTGCCCGTGACTTGTCTGGTGATCGTCATCACTGATCATCCTGCACTACACATGTACGCCCATTCGTGCTACTCTAATAACGAACGAATTTTGCAACGGATTGGCTGCTGTGAGCTGTCGATTGTCCATCGACGGCTGACAGCATCGCGCGGAGCTCGGCTTGTTGCTTTGCGCCAAATTTTCTCCGCTGAGGTGACTGTGCCGTTGGTGAATGGCGCGAAGCAAACACATTGGCTGACCACCAGCCCATCCTCGATTTGCGAGAGCACGAAGGGAGTATTGTTGGTAGAGGGATTCCAGTCTTTGAGGAAAGGTAAAAACTCATTTCAATATAAAAAATGATATGCTAACCATAGCATTTCAATATCGTGAGGGAGGGAAACGAAGCAGCTATTTGGTTCTTACACCTTTACTTGGCGTCTATGCCACTCCACGACCTCTCTGTATGGCAGGTCCCCTCCAAAAATGTCAAGGGCACTTCCTACAGTCACGTCAACTGCTCCCCTTCCAGCCGCCTTCACAATCTCCAGATCCTCGAGAGAGCGAACACCTCCAGCATAGGTCACAGGGATCTGAGAGAAATGGGCAAACGGAATAAAATTCGCTAGGTAAACGATTGGAGTGTGACAGCTAGCGATTATTGGCGAAATCAACAACGGTTGTAAAAATAGAACCAGCAGCAGCCCGCAAGCACTCACCGGTGAATATTTCCCAAGCAGGGAAACGAGCTCTTCGTCAATGCCCAGCCTGCCAATGCGCAAGGAAGAAAATGCAGAGCAGAGACGGAAAAAAGGAGAGTTGAGAATAGAACGACCAGAATGGGAAGACCTGAAACTTGTATACTCTGGACTGGAACTACGTCATGGCACATCGCTTTTTCACACAATGCACCAACCTCACACTCACTACATTCTCACTCCATGTGCACCACACTACCTTCCACATCCACACCCTGCATGGGCAACTTACCCTTCAAGGCGCGTTTTATCCCCTGCACTGTTCGAACAAATCCCCCCGCCCCCTCCTTCTCCCCCGCCCCACACATACACACACTATTTCCATGCACTTCATGCCCTCTATCCCACGCTGTGCACGTGGAAGTGGTCGCAGAAACACTCCCATCTACTGCGCACACACACTTGCTTGCCGCCCTCCCCCCATCCTTGCTCACTTCATGCCTTCCACATCCACCCCGAGGAATTCATCACAGCAGTCTGCCAGCGACTCACACCCATCCGCTGCACTCTATATACATACCACCTCCGCCTCCCCCCCCACCCATCAACTCACTTCATGCCCTCCACATCCACGCCGTGCACGAGAAATTAATCGCAGCAGTCTGCCAGCAACACACCCATCCCCTGCACTGTATGCATATACGACCTCCGCCTCCCTCCCCCTCCCCACGCCCCTGCTCACTTCATGCCCTTCACGTCCACACCGTGCACGAGGAACTCATCACAGCAGTCGGCCAGCCGCCCATTACACACACTCACTTTCCCCTCCCTCCCCACCCACCCCCCTCCTCCCCCTGCCTTTTACTCACTTCATGCCCTCCACGTCCACGCCATGCACGAGGAACTCATCACAGCAGTCCGCCAGTCGGGCCAGTGACTCGCCGTCCACCACCAGCGATGTGAAGCGCTGCCACCGGTCCGTCACCACGTAGTAGTGCTCGCCCTGCAGGGGGGATGGGGCGTGTGGGAATGTGTGTATGTATTGCCATGTGAGGGTTCAAAAAAGAGGGCACCAACGATGTGAAGCGCTGCCACCGGCCCGTCACCACATAGTAGTGCTCGCCCTGCAAGGTGGGAGCATGTGGGAGCGTTGGTGCGTGTGAGTATAGAGAGATGGAGGATCATATGAGTCTCGGGCCAGTGACTCGCCGTCCACCACCAGCGATGTGAAGCGCTGCCACCGGTCCGTCACCACGTAGTAGTGCTCGCCCTGTAGATGAGGTGAGGTGCGTGAGAGTGTGTTGGGAAAGAGAGTGTGAGAGTGAGAGATAGAGAAAGAGGTCACCAGCAATGTGAAGCGCTGCCAGCGATCCGTCACCACGTAGTAGTGCTTGCCCTGTCGGTGGTGTGAGGTAGGTGTGTGGGAGTGTGTACGTACTAGTGTGTGAGGGTTAGAGAACTAGGCCCCAGCCATGTGACTCGCTGCCAGCGGCCCGTCATCATGTAAAGATGGAGGAAAAGAGGTATGCGTAGGGAGGTGGAGGGAGGTCGAGAGAGGTGGAAGGAGGTGGAGGGAGAATTTCCAGCACAGGCTAATTCCCCACCTTCTTTCTGCAGCTCAGGTCCAGCACCAGCCTCTCAGGCGCCACTGCGTTCACCATCCTGCGCAGCCGCTCCTCATCCACCTTGCCGTCTCGAAACACGTACTGCCACACGCAGAGCCGGATGGCAAGAGTATGATCCAGAGGTTTAGGGATGGGAGATGGGGTGCTTTCAGGCTCTACCCCAGAGGTCCGAAGAGATGTCGAAGCATGAGGCTCCCGGAAGAGAGCTGTCTGATTAGCTTCTCTTATTCCAACATGAGTGCAGCAGGAAAGCAATTGTGAAAGAGTTTGTGTATGGATGTCAATGATGTGATATCATGGCATAAAATGGCAGTTTGCCACTGCATGTTATGCTCTGACTCATAACCACGGCACAAGACGTATGATACAGTGATGATGTCATACCGAGGGGATGACGTCATACAGAGGGGATGATGTCAAACCGAGGTGATGATGCCATACCGAGGTGACGATGCCATACCGAGGTGATGATGCCATACCGAGGTGACGATGACGTGGCTAGCCCCTGCATCCAGGTACATCTCGGCATTCTCTGGAGTGATGCCTCCACCCACGTGCAGCCCACCTGGATTGACAGCGCAGAGATCATGATGGTTCCATTAAGGCAGAGGAGAAGGGAGGAAGGAAGGACGGACGGGATGGAGGGATAAGCACGCTTCATCCATGCATCTGCCAGACGGTTGGTGAACAAGGTCCGTGGCAAGGGCCCATGAACAGTACCTGGAAAGGCGACTTTTGAGGCGCCTCAAAAGTCATCACGATTGGTGAACAAGGTCCGTGGCAAGACCCATGAACAGTACCTGGAAAGGCGACTTTTGAGGCGCCTCAAAAGTCATCACGATTGGTGAAAAGGCCAGTGGCAAGGCCCCATGAACAGTACCTGGAAAGGCGTTCAGCGCCCCAAGGGCTGCCTCCTGGCTGGCTGGATCAGCCCCCAGCATGATGACGTGGCCTCCTGGCAGCGAATCAGCGGCGTACATGCTGGCATACTCCGCTGCACTGCGATCGGACTCAAAGTTGGTCACAGGCTCCGATGCGGAGGAAGAGGAGGCGGTGGCTGATGAGTCTTGGGAGGGCAGGTCGCGGAGTGTGGAGCCGACGATCTGCTTCACCTTGCCCTGTACGGTATGAAGGGAGGGAGAAAAGGAGAAATTTCTGTGTGCTCTGCGCTAGTTGGTAAAGAGCCAGTGAGCGCTAATGAAAATGATACTTTGGAGGAAAAAGGTAAAGAGCCAGTGACAAGATTGACTCAATACTAGCCTACAATGAAATGCACGACTGTTATTCATAGGCTATTTCCGGACTGAGTTTAATGATGACTCTACGAGACGGGAATGACGCCCTTTGTTGATTGAAAAGCAGGATGGCACGGTGTTCTCGTGTTTGGAGAACGTTAATGGGTGACATGGCATTCATTCCATCACGCCAGCTCATGGATGTCCCTTTCTGTTAAAATGTCTCTCCTGATGCTGTGTTCGAATGTCAATGCAACATTGTGGCGTTCAAAGTGTCAATTCTACAAGCGTACCTTGTGAATGTCAATGCACGGTCGGAATTTGACAGCTGCGGCAAACATGGAGGGATCAATGAGGGAACGAGGGAATGTGGAAGAGGCCGGAGATGAAACGCGATCGGTTGGGAAAAGAGAATCAGACGCAACCAGGACAGAGTGACGGCTGAAGAAAACGTTGAGAATGCAAAAAAATGGAAGCTGGAAACAAGGAAAACTGAAACGGAGGATGGAAAGAATAAGAAAGACGCTGAGACGGACTGGCGAGATGGCTCACTGTGTCTCACGCTAGTAGCTTGGCTGTCGGATGCACTGCACCGGATAACGCGCGATTCCGACGGTCGAACGGACAGCGGAGGTTGGTGCATTGTGTGCGACAATGGAGCTGCTTTTACGACGCTAACCGCTGGCGGCGGTTGCGAGCGAAATGGCTGATGAACCCATAATGACCGGCAGATTGTGTTGCCTCCCTGTCGCTTCTATAAGAGACGGAAAGCGTATGCTATATCAATGTATCGAACACGGGTATGCGACCCTGCAGACCAAACCAAAATGTAAATTTTTGAAAGTGTGTAACACTTTCTAAAATTGTGTATTGTGAATAGCGAAGATATTTGTACCGAAGCAAAATGCTTCGGCGAACCGCTACTTCCCCTCTTTTTCGGTATAAAAGAGGGGGCGAAGGCCATTTGGCCTTCACCCACGTTTTTCATTTCAAACTTTCAGTTTTCAAGTTCTCGATTTTTTTCGTCCAAGCTGGCGAGGACTAAGAGCCTTCCTCGCTTCACTTCTCCATCGACGCTCCTCTCCGACATCCTCGGCCGCAACCTTTCGACTATGGCGCCGACGAACAACAATAGCCCCGGGGCTAAGGACGCAACTCCTCGACCTTCTTCGGGGCTCGAGAAAACGACCCGGGAAACCGGCGCGGAGAAGCGAAAACGCCCCACCGAGGAAAACGCCGAGGGCCCCAGCACTGGGGTGGACGTGCTGCTCGGCGAGGGCGGCGGCACACGCTCGCGCGCTCCCCAGCCACGCGCGTCCCACGAGCAGGCTCATGGGCCTGCAGTCGCCAATGATGACGACTTCGTCGTCATCAGTGGCGCTGACGCGGGAGGATCGCGCGCCACCCCAAAGCGGAGGGCGACGGATTCGCCTGCAACCGAAGGGGCGGCGGCGAATCTTTCGCCCTCACAAGTGGCGGCACTGCTGGCGCTCCTCCAAAAGCAGGCCGCGGCCCCCGTTACAACGCCAGCAGCTACAACAGAAGCGGAAAATTTCGCTTCCGCTAAAACTGCAAACATTCGCAACAACGTCGCCACTTCCGCAAGAGTCGCCGCATCTCACCGCGCCGACAAGGGAAAGGCGCCAGCCGTCGAAGATGAACCCGCTGCACCCGACGACGCTGATTCCGACTCCGACAGCGATGCGGGTGAGGAACCAAACAATCCTATGCCCCTCGTGCCTAATGATCTCCTCCCCCCTCTCCCCTCTCCTCACCCTTCCACCGCGGCCGCCGCCTTCAACCGCAAAGGCGTCCGTGACCAGGCGGAGGTGTTCGAGGCACTTCAGACCTACCTGGCACACGTGGAACACAAGATCCGCGGAGGCGACGCCGCCGGTGCTCTTAAAACCGTCGGTCAAGCTCAAGACCTCATCAAGCGCCGCTTCGACGTCTTGGTCGTCGCCGACCATGCCGGGTTCGACGTGGCTGAGCGCTACCAGCTCCTCAAGACTACGGCGGTGCTCACCTCACGCTCCTTCAAGATGGCGGTGGCGGATATGGCAGCCCTCAAGCGTATGAAGACCGGCTTCGCCCGCGGGAGCCGTCCGTTTGACCGCGACTCCCCCCACTTCGTGCCAAAGACCATGGGCAGCGGCAACGGCTGTCGGGGCTTCAAGGGAACCTGTTTCCGCTGCGGCCAGAATGGCCACATGGCTAGCGCATGCCCCCATGGAGGCCATGGGGGCAATGGGCCCGCACCGGTGGTGTGAGAGAAGCCCCAAGCAACCTCGCCCTCCCATCTCCCCGCACCCAAGGTTCTCATACCTTGGCTGCCTTTGATGGAGGGTGGGGTGTGGGCTGGGCCGGGTGTGGACCAGGGGTCCTTGGTAGTGGCTGCTTAGCCAAAAGCTAGAGGCATGGAGTGCCCTAGGCTGTTTGTGTATGTGTGTATGCGTGTGTGTGCGTTTTTACGCAAAGCCCGGGTGGCTATGAAGTTGTATTTCTAATTATAATGGAATGTCGCTCAGGTCATTGGCCTTGGAGATCCAGCCTATGACAAGTTATGCACCAAAAAAAAAACAAGAGAGAGATAGAGAGAGAGAGAGAGAGAGAGAGAGAGAGAGAGAGAGAGAGAGAGAGAGTATGGGAAGGCAACGACCAACTCAATAGCATGAGAAAGTCACAACGCTTCGCATGGCAAGGCATAGTGAGTTCCCGTGACCAATAGTGCCGGTTGTTACCAAGCCATCCAGCTGACATGCCTTGCGAGAGAGAGAGAGAGAGAGAGAGAGAGAGAGAGAGAGAGAGAGAGAGAGAGAGAGAGAGAGAGAGAGAGAGAGAGAGAGAGAGACAGAGAGAGAGAGAGAGAGAGAGAGAGCGAGAGAGAGAGGAAATGAGAGAGAGAGAGAGGGAGAGAGAGAGGAAGAAGAAGAAAGAGAAGCGCGCGCGCAACGCGCATGGACCCTCGCTTGAACGGTTCTCACTTTGACACCCACAAAGAGGGGTGATACATGTTGTATCCAACAGATTCTTAGCCGCACCTCACTCACGTGCACTCGCAACCTCATTACCCTTATCAAAACCACGAGGTGCATGTCGTTATGCGTGAATGACCTGCTCATACGTGCGCGCCGATACATTTCACGTAATTTGAACGTCATGGTTCGATCCTGTACCTCTGCCATCCCGCAACGAAACACCCCATGGCAGCCACAACGCCTTCATGGTCCGGGGAGCAGGACGAGATCTTGGCAAATGCGGTTACCGATCGTGATGTCACAACCATGGGTGGTCGCCTCCGACAGGCGTTCGCTTGGTGGGCTTCCTGGTGCGAGAGCTCCTTGATCCTGTCGGTCATTGTCAATGGATATTGGCTTCCTTGGAAGGCATTCTCACCACCGCCGTTCCGTGAGCAAAATCACGCCGGAGTCTTGAAGCACACCGACTTCACCCGATCGGCAATTCAGGAATTGCTCACGTCAGGAGCAGCAGCAGTTGCATCTAGCTCATCGGCCGTTACATGCATCAGCCCACTCAACGTTGTGGAACAACGCAACAAGTGCCGCCTCATTCTCGACTTGCGAAAGGTCAATCAATACCTAATTGTCCCCAAATTCAAGTACGAAGGACTTCTTCGTGTCGCTGAACTGGCGAAGCCGGGCGACTGGATGTTCTCGGTTGACTTAAAGTCTGGCTATCATCATGTCGATATTCACTCATCTTGCTGGTCATTTCTAGGTTTTCACTTTGAAGGCACCGACTATGTTTTCAAGTCGTTGCCGTTCGGCCTCGCTACAGCGCCCTTCCTGTTCACCCAGTTGATCAAGCAGTTGGCACGGAAATGGCGAGCGCAAGGCATTCGGGTCATACCCTATGTGGACGATATATTGTTCCTTTGCGACTCGGAACAGGACGCTCGTTTGAAAAGTGGTGCAGTCATTCGAGACCTCAAGGAGTCGGGGCTCGTCATCAACGCAAAAAAGTCGCACCTGATCGCGACTCAAAAATTGCACTTCCTCGGAATGGAGCTGGACACCGCATCCGGAAGGTTCACTATCGGCCAGGAGAGAAAGGCGCAACTCACACAAGCACTACATGTGCTGCTTTTCACCTACGAGCGCAACCAGCGGGTATCAATCCGCCTCGTCGCCCGCGTCACCGGCATCCTTGCATCCATGGCGCTCGCCCTTGGTGCGACGGCGCGCTCTTTTAGCCATCAACTTTTGACACTCATTAATGAGGCGCCATCATGGAATGCACGAGTGACCCTGACCTCGGAAGTTCGCGACGAGCTACAATTTTGGTCTGACCACTTCGACCATTTTAACGGGGCTCCTTTTCACATGCCCCACAGTCTGGACACGGTCATTCACGTCGACGCTAGCGCACACAGTTGGGGTGCAACCCTTTCATCCTTCCCCGGCGGAAGCTCGCAAGGAAGCAGCCCCATGCCAAAAGAACTTCTCTCCACATCGAGCACACGCCGAGAGCTCGAGGGAGTGCTATGGGCACTGCAGACGTTCAAGGACCAGATCCAAGGTCGCCGCGTACTCATGCGAGTAGACAACCAAGGCGTCTTCTTCATTCTGCGCAAAGGCGGCTCTCGCCAGCCTGAGCTCACTCTTCTGTGCAAGGCCATCGTCGCAATTTGCATGGCGCACGGAACCTGTCTGGCCATCGAATGGATTCCACGTGCTCTCAATACGCATGCAGATGCACTGTCCAAATTTTAAGACCACGACGACTACTCGCTCAAGCTCCCCTGGTTTCGATTATTGGAAAGGCGTTGGGGATCACACACCATCGACCTATTCGCCAATGCCAACAACGCACAGCTCCCGCGCTTCTGCGCTAAACATCCGCACCCACGTGCAACTGCCATAAATGCATTCTCGCTCGATTGGGGATTAGAGCACGGCTTCGCGTTCCCGCCGCCGAACCTCATCCCAGCGACCTTGCACCATGCCGCACGCACGAACGCCACGATGACACTAGTCGTTCCCGAATGGACAGGCGCTGCTTGGTGGCCCCTAATCAGACCTTCCCCACACACCTGGGCAATCGGCATCTCCTCCATCCTCTACCTTGCTAGTGGTAGTCAATGCTTGCATGTGGGCTCCCATGAACATGCATTCTCGGGTGCTGGTCTTCCAGTCAGTCGTATCTTAGCACTGAAAGTCAATTACAAACCTTGATGTA